GTATACTTATCAAAATGGGATTAACAAAAATTATTTTTTTATGATAAAATGTGAAATACATTAAGAGGGTATCATTTTATTTTAATTCACTTATGAAAATAGTTAACCTAAAAGACACATAGTCTCATGAACATATGAAAAACACAGCTCAAGTAAGTTTTATAGGCATACTGAAAAAAAAAAAAAAAAAAAAAAAAAGGGTATTCAAAGCAGAAGGGGGGAAAAGAAAAACATACACTATAATTCTATTAGCAACTCAATATATATTGTGATATATTCTAAAAGCAAAATTATACAATACATAATAATATAAATTAAATATATATAATAAATATAAAACTATAATGAATAATGATCATAACTATATAATAAGTGCCAACACACATTATCTCATGGTATATAACACTGCTGTGAAAGGAAGAATATTTGATTAGAAATTTACCTTATATATATATATAGTAGTACTTTTTATACTGTTATTCGTACCAGATAACCACAGCTATTTTCTGAACTTGAAAACTTTTATGCTAACTATGCTCAACCACTGTAAACTGTTCTAAATAGTTGAAGAGGAAATGACTCACACAAAGAAATTTTAGCATTACTAGAATATGAAATTCAAAATTCATCATTAATGTTAAAATACTTAATTATTAAGACGCAAATTCATCTTTGCCTTCAGCCTTTAAAGAAATTATGTTTTAGTTCTGGTTTAATCAGCAGATGGTGCCAGTAGCTTATCTCCTGTCCATGCTTTCTTATCTTATCTAATCATTATATCCTATCTCCTTCATTTGCACTTTTGCAGCGGAGGATGATGGTTTGGGAAAACCATTGAAACTAGTCCTGTGAAAATTTGAAAATACAGTCAAAAGTCGTTAATCCGGACTCGTCGGGACTTCGGCGATTCCGGATTATCGATTTTTCCGGATTATAGATCATCAGTTTAAATCTCGTAAGATGGCATGCAGAAATTCTAAAATTAAAAATATGAAACCGTAATTTATGAATAAAGAACAATTATGATGTACAGGATATCAAAATTTACAAAAAAAAAAAAAAAAAAAAAAAACTTAATATTTATTTGTTTTACTTTATTAAACATTTCTCTCAATGTAAGTTGTTTAAGTTGCTTCATTTTATGTGATAATACTTTCTCTTTAATTCTATAAAAAGACATAATTTCTTGTTCAGTTACAAAGTTCCGCTGTTCCAAGTCCCGTTAATTGCTGTGCCGAGAATACCGACTAACTTGTCAATCGAAATTTTTTCGTTTTCACTAACCTCTCTGTCACATTCTTCATGTCTTTATCCATTTTTTGCAGCAATTCCACTTTTTGTTTGTGGACATCGAAACATACTTTCGTTTTGTAGATCCTTTGGAAGTTCCAGCATCGGAAATTCTATTTGTCATAATCGAAAGTTCAAGCAGTCTGCAAAAAATAATAAGCGGGATCCAATTCGAAGATTATGGAACAACGCAATCATTAACATTAACTGAAATAGATTAGATAATTTTAGCTTACACCGTCCGTTATACATTAAACGCGCAGGCGAAAACGTATTCTGCACTTGCGCACACGCATATGTGCAGTAGTCAAGGTCTTACGCACACGCGTAAAACGCCTGAGCGCATGTGCCAACGCGGCACATGCGCAGAAAGTTTTTAGCTTTGAGGTCCGGATTATAGATCATTCCGTATTATGGGTGTCCGAATTAACGACTTTTGACTGTATAACGCTGATTTTTTTGTTTGACTTCTGAATTAGTACTTAATTCTTATTTTTATGTGTCATACAATAAATTTTCATTTAAATCATTGCTAACATGAACTGAAGCAGACTTTACATTTCTACTGGTAAAATATGCATGAAAACCTTATTGTATATGTATGTGAATTAATAATATTTAAGAGATCAATGAGCCATAATGATTTATACTTCATTACACAAACATGAATGTCTACTTTCGAAGAACAAACACATTTGTATGTATATACATATAATATATGGGAAAGAAATTTTGCATATATAAAGAAAACTTTTCTTACGACGAAAAATATAATAAGTTATTTTTAAATGCTTAGAACACACTTTCATATAATGTCCAACTTTCTTTACAATGCGAAATACGCGAATCCACTCCCTTCTTTGCTTTGCTATCTTGTTCAATATTTTTCGAACCAGGAATACAATGGAAGCATAACTCAAGTTCTTTGCAAGCTCTTGAATTACACTGTTTTACACAACAAAATGTGTTGTCTGCACTTCTTTCTAAGTTATGCATAATGCCCACAACAATAAAAAATAAATGTTTAATTACTTTTTAATCACAACATGCTTCACAAACTACGTAGTATTGTCAAATATAATACTTTTTTTTTTATATTTCTACTTTTTAGCCACTAGATTGTGTATCAGAGCGTTGGAATCGTGGCTTTGATAGCAAACTTGCATACAGCTTTGATAGCAAAATTGTAGCAGAATGCGAGCGCCACCAAGTGATGAATGTCGTGAAAACCAGGAACTGGAATTTCATACAGTATGATATACCTTGAGTGGCCTTGACGTGATGAACAACTTTGGCAAGCCAAAATTTGCATATGCATAACACGTCTTATTGTATGTTGCACCTATGGTCATTTCTACATTTGCTTGTCACTTCCATTTTGTGGTTGCTATCGTTGCTGCTATCATCTGTCTTCAGTAATTGTCCACCAGTGTATGATAGAATCATTTTTTTTAAACTTGCATGTAAATAGAAAATCAATATCATTTTAACAAATAATAGATATAAGTGGTTGCCAGATTAATTATTTGTCTGAAAACTAATTTGACATATTTTGATACTTAAGTGGTGTCCCTGAAAGGAAAGTTCTTGTACTTGTACATGTTCTGATATGCAGTGAATGTCTTGACATGACCTCATAGTTCCAGATATCAGATAATTTTGATCTCCTATGGAGGTGGTCATTTTAGTGTCTGAATATTCAGTACTGATGCTTATACTATTTCCAGAATTGTCAGTCATTTTCAGAAGTGATCTTCACAAGAATGTTCACTGTATATCCACTTGATAATTATGAATATTTCATCACTGTTATAAATAAAGATTAATAAAAGATAGAATAGAAGGGAAGCACACCAATGTGACAATCAAAATCGCAATAACAACCTTGTATTTGGCGTACATATATTACAACACTCAATTGATTTTAAGGGCAGCTAAAGGTCCCTCCTCATCAGGAGAACGAAATTACTAGAAAGGGGAAAAAAGAAGAAAATAAAGCATTGGCAAAGGAGTCTCACATGTGGTCGTAACCGGATTTATGAATCAGAGTTACACTGGTCACCTACTTTTACTGAGCCAGGCTATCTGATCATTATCAAGCATATGTGTATTATATGTTTGATCAGATAGCCTGGCTCAGTTAAAGTAGGTGGCCAGTGTAACTCTGATTCATAAATCCGGTTACGACCACCAGCAGTGCGGATAACGACCACGTGTTTCTGAGACTTCTTTGCCAATTCTTTTTTTTCTTCTTTTTTTTTTTTCCCTTTCTAGTAATTTCATCCTCCTGATGAGGAGGGATCTTTAGCTGCCCTCGAAATCGATTGAGTGTTGTGATATATGTACGCCAAATACAGAGTTATTATTGCGATTTTGATTAATAAAAGATGTTTCTAAAGTCTTATATACAGTCAAAAGTCGTTAATCCGGACTCGTCGGGACTTCGGCGATTCCGGATTATCGATTTTTCCGGATTATAGATCATCAGTTTAAATCTGGTAAGATGGCATGCAAAAATTACAAAATTAAAAATATGAAACCGTAATTTATGAAATAAAGAACAATTATGATCTAAAGGGTATCAAAATTTACAAAAAGAAAAAACTTAATATTTATTTGTTTACTTTATTAAACATTTCCTTCAATGTAAGTTGCTTCGTTTCATGTGATAATACTTTCTCTTTAATTCTATAAACAGACATAATTTCTTGTTCAGTTACAAAGTTCCGCTGTTCAAGTCCTATAATTGCTGTGTCTACCGACTAATTTGTCAATCGAAATTTTTTCGTTTTCAATCACCTCTGTCACTTTCTTCGCTATCGGAAGTGAATTATAATGATGAGGAATTTGATTTAAATCATATCAAAGACGGAGTACATCGAGATGAAATACTACATTTAGTAAGGAATTATAAGCCAAATAAAATAAAAACATCTGCCCTGAAGATAAGGATAGTGTTGACAGATCAACTTCCAATTCATTGCGCGGCGCCGTGCTGTTAAAGATAAACAAACGTTAAAGTTTAGATAAACAAAGGATATGCCTTTATCCATTTTTTGCAGCAATTCCACTTTTTGTTTAATGAACTTCGAAACATACTTTCGCTTTGTAGATCCTTTACATATTAATAAATATATATCAGAAATTCTATTTGACATAATCGAAAGTTCAAGCTTACTTTTATAAAATTGCTCTACAGTCTGCAAAAAATAATAAGCCGGATCCAATTCGAAGATTAAGGAACAACGCAATCTGTAACATTAACTGAAATAGATAATTAGATAATTTTAGCTTAGCTTATACCGTCCGTTATAGATTAAATGCACACTCGTAAACGTATTTTGCGCAGGCGCACAAAGCATATTCGCAGCCGTAAAGGTCTTACGCACATGCGTCAACGTGATGCATGCGCAGAAAGTTTGTAGCTTTGAGGTCCGGATTATAGATCATTCTGGATTATGGGTGTCCGAATTAACGACTTTTGACTGTAATAGTATATCTTGGTACACAATCTTTTGCTATTTTACACAAAGTTTAAAATCAGAATAATTTTTTATTTTTATTTTATTTGTATTATGTGAATAATAAAAAGGAATGTCGTATATAATTGTTAGATTTGTTTAAAAGGAAAATAAAACATTTCTTTTGCTAGTATTTAAGACATTAGGCACATGTAATAAAGTATATTTATATATCAGTGTACTTTTCAGGTCACCAAATTTGAGCAATTTTAAGAAAAGTTGCAACTGCAAAATGGAAAGAATGTCTGATAACTGCATATCAGAAAAAATTAAGAATGTGAAAACGTTGCCGGAAGAAGTGCAGGCAAATGAAAAACCACAAGAACAACCATCAGATATTCCATGTGGTATTTATAATTGTACTATTTATACTTTTCATCTTTCTTTTAAACAAATAAATTATTAAGTACAACTGAGGATTTTTTTATATTTTTAGTTACATGTTTTAAGTATTAATTTTGTAATAAAAGCTATGATTTAGGAGAGGTTATTTTAAAACTTGCTAACTGATATTCATAAAAGAAGTTACTTATATTTCATTTTTTGAAATTTTCTTACTATTTTTATTTTAATTTATTCTTTTTTAACTGTTTGTTTAATGCACTAAGTATATCTAATCCCAACATATGTGGATAAGGCTTAAATTATTGATAAAGTATTGAGTGTGTTCAGAAAATGAGATTGAGTTGCTTTCCCCCTTAATAAAAAGTAACATGAATAAGAGCTTGTTTTCCTTTAGAAAGGTCTTATAATGCAGATAGCCTTTCCGTGCTTTAATTAAAATCAACCAATTAGCCTTTCATGTGTGTACCATTTTGCAAATAAACAAGAAATGCAGAAACAAATACTGCATCTTCTAAAATCAAAGTTTTTGTTTTTTTTTTTTTTTTAGCTGAAATTTAAATTTATTTATCAGTAAAGATTTAGTCTTATTAGGAACATAATTTTTTTTTTTTTAAATTTTTATTGAAAGGTAAAATTTTCATTTGAAGGTTATATCACAGTTTGTTTTCAGATTGCAAGTTACGGACCAGCTTTGGTTCTAGTCCTTTTGTCGATTTTTTGATTTTTCGACAAACTTTTGTCGCCAAGGTAGACCCGGCTTTTAAGGATCGGAAAAAAATGGCAGATTGTCAACAAACCCTTTAAGGATAAATATATATCTAGACTAAATAACAATCCTAAAAATAAGCTCTTGATTTGAATACTGCAAAGAACAGTGTCTTTCTCTAATTTTCAACACTTAGTATTGCTATGAGGGTAAAAGTTTACAATTGGGTGCCCCTTGTTTTTTTGGCGATTCTTTTTTTGACGCCAAGAAAGGCACCAGGAAGGCACAATTTCAAGATGGCCAATAATTTATTTTCACTTAAAAAAAATCAGACAATTGCACAAACTAGGCACTGCTTTATCCATGTACACATCGATCTGTTTTTACTTAAAAAAAATCAGGAAGCTAAAACAAGGTTAAAACTATCATAGTAACCAGAAATGAGGTGTCATCGCCAAAATTGAACAAAATTTGTCGCTAATCCGCTATTAGCCAATAATTAGGGCACCCAATTCTGCACTAGAGCCGCTATCTATTATGATAAATTCTTGAAACATTGCCATAAATGTTGTATTATGAGTAATGGAATTTACAAAAGATTCATATTTTAAATTACAAAATACAATATTAATTATAAAAATATAATAAATATTAATTAATATTTTAAGTAGTTAATTAATACTTATATTATAGTATTAGTATTTAGTTAATATTTTAAATTTACAGATGGTTAATTTTTATGCTATGAGTAATGAAATTTACAAAAGCTTAATAAATGCATTTAAAGCTAGTCTATGTTACTTTAGTTTCTTAGATTCCATTATTAGAAGTAAATAAAAAAATTTTCATATTGAAAGGAAATCAAATTGTCATAAGGAGTAAATTTTGTACCAGTGTTAGAAATACTTTTTATGAATTTAATTATGTAAATGGTAATAATATTAAGAAGTGTATATTTTGTAATTAATCAATTTGTTATGAGTAATTTACGATTATAATTTAAAAGCTAAAATTAAATTATCATAATAAGTAAATTTTGGGCCAGTGGTAATAATACACAACAAAAAAATGACATCATAACTGATGATTTTTGTGAAAGATTCTAACAGTCATTGGAATCCATTAGTGGTGGAGTGATAAGCCACTGAAGACTGGAAGTTCAAAGGCTGGTTATATGGGAGTTTTTGTGGTTTTCTTTACAAGTAACCTGATTTGAGCCAGTTTTGCATAAAAAGTCCTTCATGAAGGTATCCTTCCTCTAATAGCCTGCATATATATTTATTTTCTATTCATAAATACTGTTCTCTCTTTAAATACAGATCCCTATATTTTGTTTGCCCATTTAGAATAACTATCAGGCAACACAATTTAGCTTGTTTTAATAAAGAAAAAAGAATGTTTTTAATTATGAGTTAAATGAAATATTTTTAAAAGTAATGTTACTTTTTATTCTTCTATACTTTTACACTGCTGTAGTTATCTGCATCATTTGCATAGGAAAGCTACACATAGCAATGGTTTAAAGTTGTGATAATCACAAAGTGTGCCTTCTGTTCTATATATCTAAACTTTATAATAGAATAAGAATGTATCTAAACTTTATAATAATTACATTTAAATACATTGAAATCACAAGAAAAGTACTTGCCATGTTAGTCAAATTTTATGTATAAATTGTACTCTTACTTTTATTACAGAGTTTTTATTACAAAAAATTCAGATTTCTGTTATATTAAATGTCTAAATAATGTAGAATATTTACATAAACTTTAAAATAAAAATTTGACTGTTATGTCAACATACTATTAATAAAAGTAATGATACTCAATGAAGATTATTCATATACAGTTATTAGATCATGAGATTTACAAAATTTGAGAACTGTAAATTATAAACAATATATTCCATAATCTAGGCAACATTATATTTTTTATAGTCAGACAAATTATAAAAATGTTATAAAAGCAATAATGAAAACCTGATTTTGCTCTATGAATTCACACAGTACACATCCCTATAGTTCTAATTTAAGAAATGAAGCAAAAAAGTATTTTTAGACCATGGTAATTTTGATCGTTGTCCATTTTAGGAAACATGTAAGAAGTCTAGCATGTGGTTCTTTAGCAAAGGAAACACCAAGAGTTTACATTAATGCTGCTAAACATATGTCCCTTTTTCGGGGGGGGGGGCGAGAGCGGAGTGTATAATATGCAGAGTTGACATTTGAAAAAATGTCAAGAATCATGTGATGTAATGTTAAAAGTATCAGTTTTAACAATTAAATTTGGCTTTTTTAAAAGTGGTATTTAATTATATATATATATATATTGTGCTTTCGTCACACAAAAGTAATTTTAAGGAAAACTTGCAATTTATCCTTCCCGCCATCAAAGCTCTGATAGCTACCAAATTCGTTAAAGTGACGTGGACAGAAATGGCGGCTTGTGTTTCAGCTCAATATTCAGGGTTATCATAATTTTTCATTTATCGGGCCCAAATGTCGCCCAAAAGGACTAATACTAAAGCTGTGCCCAATTTTCATATAATTTACTTACTTACTTTTGTTTGAGTATATTATATAATATTTTGTGTGATTTATTTCTTTTGATATATATTCTTAATTTTCATTTGGAAGTTACACAGAAACAGAAGGTAATGCTGATATTTTACAAAATTAGACTAAAGTCATCAGGTTTGTGAATGATGTGATGATGCTTATGATCTCTGATAACAAAAATGAACAAGAGATTGAATGTAATTTAATTGCAATGGGAGCTCTTTGCAGATATTTAATAAACTTGATGCAAATAAATAAGGGCCATAACCTTGATTAACATTACACAAAATAGTACACATATCTACAAAATAAAAGATTCCTAAATACTCACTTAATTTTATAATAGTATATTGAGTTATACAAGATTTCAGACTGACAAAACAAAAACTGACATGAAAAAAGGTGTTATAAAAATCAAAAACTTGTAGTAATATTATGTAAAGACTTTAATTTATTTTACACATCATGTTTATGTTGTTTAAAAAAAAAAAAAGAATGAAAGTGCATTCCTTGTTCTTTTTTCTTTGTTTCTTTTTGTGAGATTCAAGTATTCCATTTCTTTTGGAAATTAATAAGGCATTTTTTGAATATTTGGAGTATTTAGCTTTATTTTTATTAGATAAATTAAATTAAAAAAAAATTATTGGCTAAATAAAACTGCACATTTGCTTTTTACCAAAGTGGTGAAATAGTTTTATTTCCCACTATAAAACTGATTACATATGAAATGATACTGATCACACCTGTCTCTATTTTAAATATATGAATGCACTATGTGTGTGGGTTTGAATATGAAAGTGAAAGCATGGGACTATTTAGCTTAAAATTAGCAACTTAGATCATAATAAGCTCACTAAGAATATTATGTCTTTCTTATGTTTAAGAGCTTGGGATTTTTTGTAAGGCTTTTAAAGCAAGAGAAGAGTTACAAGAAGAAAAAAGCTGTGTATGATAGTAAAAATGAAATAATGATATAATAAAGCTAAATTAAATTCATCTTATTGATAATTATGATTTCTAGAATTTTTGCCTTAAATGCAGGTTACCAAAAGATTTGTTTTACTGAACAGTTTGTGGCATTACCAATGATCTCAACTTAATGAATATTAAACTTTAAAATGATGATAGTTTTGGTTATCTGATATGTTTTAGCAAAACTAAAATTTTTGTGTGGCTCATCTCCGAAGAAAGATGCAGTTAAAAAATTATTTCTTGTTCTACGAAAGGCCTTTCAGAAGTAAAAATGTCCTGTAATATTCAAAATTGGTCTGCAAAAACTTGTCAAATAAACCGATTCTATCTGAAGGAAAGAACAGAGGAAAATCACTTTCGATGTCATATGAAATTGAAAAGTGTTAAATGCAAAATTTCAAGTTTTATCATATCTATAAATGGTAATTTGAAAACATAAACTTAATCAGCATGAGAATTGAAACCGGTGCTTAAATTCATAAGTTCAATATCTTATCTTTAAATGTAAAAGTTCAAATTTTAGCTCATCAGTTGGGAATTTGGAACCAGTGCTTCTGAATTCATACCTTTTTCTGATGAGAGTTTTTTTTTAAAACAATTCACAGTCGAAAGTTCACAATGTCTACCTTTCTAAAGTAATATTTTACATGCTGCCCATGCAAAATTTTAATTAATGATATCTTGTGTAATTTTTAGAATGAAACAATTTGTACTAATAGATATACTACACTAATAGATAATTTATAATAACAAATTTATACTAATAAATTATTTATAGTAATAACCAAAATTAATGTAATCTGAATGCCTAAATTATTTGATTCATTTTGTAAATTTTAAACATGATTAAGCATTCAAGAGCTATTTAGTTTTGCAGTCTTTTTAAAACACCCTGTATATATTTTAAATTTTAATTCCCAAGCATTGATAAGCTGAATTGAATGAACTTAAAATTCAAAATTAATCATAGATATAGCTTGCAAGCTTACAGTGAATGCTGGAACTGTCCATTCTAACTTATGAATAACTTAATGTGTTTCTAAATATTGGATGAATTGATTCTTCTAACATAATGGAATCCTTTAGATACATATATTTTTAATAATATTGAATTAATTGACAATGTTTCATTTTGAAGTACTTCTGAATAAGAAAGAAACTTTTTAAATAACTTTTCGTATTTGAACTGTACCGCTGACTAAATATAAGGGAGCATGTTTCTGCTCACTTTTGATATGACCTAATAGTATTGCTCTAAGTGTTAATTTCATCAGAGGAAAAAAAAAAAAAAAATGTAGAAAATTCTTTTACACATGTAACTGAAACTTTTGGAATATATTGATATTTTTACAATATATCGAAATCTGGGTGATTTGGAACTCTCTCTGTCTGTATGTAAGTGTGTGTTGTACTGCTTTTGTATGAGTAAAAAGGGACATGTGTGTATGAGTGCATTTTTATTAATGTAATTAAAAAATAGCCTCAGCATGTTTCATAGGTGCTATATGTTTTGAGCTACATAAAATGTCTTTTATAATGAACAATATAAAAATGAATTTTTTTTAATTAGCTTTTTTTTTTTTTTTTTTTTTTTTTTTTTTTGTTGTTGTTGTTGTTAAGCTTAAACAACACACTTTTTATCTTTGAGTATATACAGAGAATGAAATAAAAGGATGCTGATAATAATCTACAAAGATATGTAAATATTATTTCTGCCGTATGAAATACCTAAAATTCATTTATCAGATTTTCCTTTTTTCCCGTTCCATATTATCATAAATAGTAATCTAAGATTAATTTTTAATTTTTTATATTTTAAAATTCTAGCCGTTAATGTAGATGGAGAGGATGATTCTTTGCCAGATGTCGTGCTTATACCATATAAAGATATATGCAGAGCTACTGGCAATTTTGACAAGACTCGTGTTTTGGGAAGAGGTTGTTTTGGAACTGTTTACAAAGGAGATTGGAAAGGCATATCTGTGGCTATTAAAAGACTCACACCTGTAAGTATATATTTTTCAAATTAAAGTCACAGAGTTTTCCTTGAAACCAATTTCTATTACTTTCAACTTCCTTATCTCTTAATTAGAAATATAATTATTCATTTGTTAAGTTACTTCAGTTGCTTATTGAATAACATCATAATAATTACAAAAATGGTTATACTGATGGGTATTACATTGAAATTTGATTGTATTAGCCTTTTTTTAATTCACTTTGAAATTTCAGTCAACTGCAATTTTGTCCCCCCCCCCCCCAAAAAAAAATCAAAATGTATTATATTCCCCAAACATAAATTTTTTTGATAAATAATACCTCAAAATTCCAATAATCAGCAACAGTTTAATTCGTGAATGATTGTCATGTGTGTTGTTTCAAATGTAAACAAACAAAATCTTAATTTTCAGATAATTGAGCATGGAAGATTTAATAGCAATTTTTTTTATGTGTCTGAAAAGAAACTTTTTTTTATTAATATGCATTATAACATATTTTAATGTCAAGAATTTATTTCTCCATAGCTTGTTAGATTTTCCATTAAAACTTAAATGCACTCTGTAGATAATATCTTTACATTTTTCATTACCTTTTATACAGTGAGAGGCATTTTTATTTCGGTAGCAAATAGAGATAGATACTTGAAAATAGCATTTGCGACGATTTTTTAGTACTTATTTATTGACACAACCACCTTGATGCAGTTTGGCAATTTTTTATTAACAAAAAGGAATGGTGATTTATAATTGCAAAAGTTATTTGTTACATTCATACATATTTTATGGTATTTATGTGGGAAAATCAATGAATAAAACAACTTGAACGAAATATTTTTCTCTTATTTGATGGAAATATCCCGATGATTGCTTTTAGAATATTCAAAATGTTTTCTCCCTTTAAATTTTGCTGTAAGCTACTGTATTCTTGCATAAATTTTGCCACAGATTCTTATGTTACAGACAAATCTTACAAGTGCATTTTGTTAAAACTGATTTTGAGATAAAGAAATGTCATTATTTTGTTTTAAAAACTGTTGGAACTTGGGGTACTACAGAAAGAACGACAATGAAAATGGCGACGTTGTTTACTGAAACAGAATTACACATGGTTATGTAAAGAATTGTTATGTATAGTAGACAGAGTGTTGTGTGTTCTGAAAATTTGGCGACTTCTTTTAAGGTGGTTGCATTAACACATAAGCACTGATTTTTTTTTTTTAAATATAAAAAATGGAAAACATGCTAAAGATAAGGGGAGCTAAAGAACGGAGTAAGTTTCTTTTAATAAATTCAAAAATTACAATTTTAGTGCTTTTTGTAGTGTTATTAATACAGTAGTGCATGTGCAGAATGTACTTGCAGAATTAGTATTGGAATGAAATTTAGGGAAATCCAAACTGTCGGAGGTCTTGTAAACAGTTACTTACATTTTCTCTCTCATGTTAAGACTATAAATATTACTTTGTAAATTCTGTTTGCAGGTGTATATACACTGAAGAGCCATTACATTATGACCACCTTCCATCTATAACAATGGGCTCGTCCAGTAACAAAAACACTGCATGTGCATGGCTGATGTTGGAGTATGGAAAGCGGCTATGCATTGTCTTTCCAAACATAGTGCGATTCGTGACATAATGGAAAAAGCAGCTGATTTATCAGACTTCGATAAAGGTCAAATCATTATGGCTTGGCTACTGGGATTCATCGTGACAGAAGAGCTACAACAGCCGAAACACCACCATCTGCAACTGTGATGACCCAGACAGTGTTTCTCAACACACTGTGCAGTGTACATTGCTGCGTATGGTCCTACGCAGCTGGAGACCGAAGCATGTTCCTGCACTGATGGCACATCATCAGCAGCTGCGTCTACAGTAAGCAAGAAACATCGGAAATGGACACTAAAGGAATGGAAGAAGTTGCATGGTCTGACGAATCACATTTTCTAGTCCATCACATTGATGGGTGCATGCTAATACGCCGATTTCCAAAGGAAATCCTGTCTCCCGGATGGACAGTTGGACGGAGACAAGCCGGTGGCAGAAATATTATGGTGTGGGCAACATTTTCATGGAGCACATTAGGATCCATATTCCTCATAGAACAATTCCTGATGTTTGTGTTTTACATGAATTTCATTGCAGATCAGTTTCACTCATTGATGACAACAGTATTTCTGGTGAGGGAGGGTGTTTACCAGCAGGATAATGCACCATGTCATAACTGCCAAATTGTCAAGGAGTGGTTTGAGGAACATTTCAGTGACTTTCAAGTCACGTCTTGGCCTCCAAATTCACCTGACATTAATCCAATAGATCATTTGTGGTCCCAGCTGGAAAAACAAATTCATGCTGCCCCGCTACCCCCTCGCAACATGCAGAATTGCAAGACCAGTTTGTGAGTGCTTGGGACCAGATACCTGAGACTATGTATCAGCACCTTGTAGAGTCAATCCCAACTGTGTGCTGGCAGTTTTGAGGGCTAAAGGTGATCCTACATGTTATTAACAGGATGGTCATAATGTAATGGATTTTTGGTGTGTATATATTGTTTCATAAGAATAAATTGAATTTCAATACAAATTTAATTAATTCTTTGCGCCATTGCTGTAAGGAATGAAATTATGAATTTAACAAACATGTATATACATAAAAAAGCAAATTTAAAGGTAAAATAATTAAAAATAATTATTTTAAAGTTTAAATTTGCTTTTTTATGTATATGCATGTTTGTTTTAAAATTTAAATTTGTTTAAATTTATATATATATATATATATATATGTATGTTACTTGTATAGAAAAGAGTTCTTTCTCAAGAAATTTACCTATTTTATGCCTCTATTATGTTTTCTGAGTATAATGTACCCTTGTACTGACATTTTTTTTGTGTGATTATATTTAAAGACTATAATAATCTTATATTCAGTAAAACTTGATTTAAAAAATGTAGATTCTTCCCACCTTATGAATGGGTTATGTTCCAAACAACCACTCACACCATGGATTTGTTCATAAAATGTTACTAGGTTTGCTATGCGTACCTCTTAATAATATATGTAAGATAAGAGCTAGAGCTTTGTCAAATAAATAACTAAAAATGCTGAAACAACTAAATAATGCACTTTAAATATAGTACATTATAAATAAATTAACTTTGTTATATGGGACAGTACCTTGGCTGAAGATGAGTATAGTATCAATCTTTACATAGGTGGAGGTAACTCAGTACCTTGATTTGCTCTCTGAAGAATCAATGACAAGTAAAGGAAGCATTTGTGATGAGGAGACTGTGTAAGAGGTGGAAGGGGTTGGCATGTTAGATGGATAGCAACACTGATTTTTGAAGTGTCTTTTTTAAGAAAATAATATATAAACTTGTCTGAACAGGCTTCCCCCCTCCCCCATTGTAAATAGATGAAAGCACTGTATGGCATCATGCACAGTCATTTATTTATTTTTGACTTAGAACAAACTCCAGTCTTTGAAAACAGGTTTATTCATATCTGAAGAACTTTGTAAAATGAAGAGGATCTGTATAATTATTTGATATTCAATAAAACAAACTTCAGTCTTTGAAAATAGGTTTATTCATATCTGAAGAACTTTGTAAAATGAAGAGCATCTGTATAATTATTTTATATTCAATAAAACTTGATTTAAAGAATATGAGGACTATATATTAAGTTGAGCATGATTAAATAATTGTTAATGTTTTATTTAGTTATTTATAGGTAAATAATCAAGTTTTAATGTAAAAATATAAACAAATCTTTGTAAGACATGACCAATAATCTGCACAACCCTTAATCCGAAGATGCATGAATTATTGGAAATTTCTTGTATTCTTTTCATATTCATTACAGGTATCATGTAATGAGTATGAAAAAAGAAAAGGCTAAATTGTAGATTTTTCAAGGTACTTTTCCGTTTCGCCGGCGCAAATCTCGCCAAGCAGTCTTTATTGGCGACAACATACAGTATACACATAAAAAATATTTAAAAAATGTTAGTTCTAAGAATTATTTTTTTGAAGGCATAAACATTTTAATATCGCTTAAAATTTTATAAAAAGCCAATAAATAAAGACAATAAATTTGTAAAAAGACATTAATTTAAGAATTTACTATGCTTTCATGGTTCAACATCCTGATTCGCCGGTTTATCACGTGACCCCAAGCGATCTCATCTCACGTAAACTACTCTATAAAAATCTAATGTTCTCAGTAATTATCTACATTAATTTCAAGTTAAATCTTAATTTGGAACACAAGTTTAAATGCAAGAAATATTTCAATTCGTACGAATAGCTTACTCAGAAATTATTTAAAACTGCAGTGCTTTACTTCGCTAATTCATTCTCGTTAGAAATGATGAATTTAACCCTTGACTTTACCTTTTCTATATTTTCGGCTTCGGGTAAGCGCTGTGATTGCATCCTAATTGACTTAATTACCGAAAATGGCCTTAGACATAAAACTGAACTATCTGATAAAAATTCTATGTAATTAATTATATGCCAGTATTGAAAGAAACAATCAATCTGATAAGAAAAAGCTGCGATTTGTTTTGAAAATGAGGCTTAAAAGGTTACCAGCGAGAATATTCCGTTTGGTATCGGTTGCACCATTATTGGCGACTTTATCGCTTGCGCTGGCAAAACGGAAAAGTACCTTTTTCAATTTTAGTAAAAAAGTACATTCACACATTATTCAAAAACAAGTATTCATGCAGCAATCAATCATTTCACTGGCAGGTGCTAGTTTTTAATATTTATAGGAATCACTTTGAAGAGTAGGCTAATTTGATAAGGTTTCACGTACAAAATGTGACCCTGATTGATAAGTCAAATGTATATAATTAGTATTACATTCTAAACTTTGATCAGTACTTCAGAATTATTATTTATTTTTCACTAAATTATCTTTGAAATTATGCTTTTATTTTTTATAGTTAGTATTTGAATGGATGTATGTGTATTTTTTCATATTTCAAGAGGGAGAGTTCTGATAGCCCATCTCAGCAGTTAACAAGCATCAAGCAATCCCTGAATGAACTTAATATTTTTAAATGGTAAGGAGAAAGTTTTTAAAAAATATGTGTTTAAATGATGAGATGCAAAATTAATAATTGTTTGAATTATTCTGTTGCAGCAGCATAAATTGTGTTATGTTTATTTCATAAGAGGCTTTATTTTTCGGAATTTTCCCAGGTATTTTATTGAATTGCATAAAAAAGAGTGGAAGACAAAAATGATTTAATTTGAAATTTTTTCGCTGTGTTAAATATCATATTGTCAGAAAAAGTTAGGTACTATCTAAGTATGGATAGTTTAATCTGGTTTACTAAACTATTAAATCATCAGCTAGACATTTATACGCGAGGCAACGAGCCATTTGCGTGCATGAACCTTATAAGAAACAGACCAACCCAAATGGCTCTTCTCCTTCTTCTGACACATTCCCGGCTGTCACCTTGACCAAATCCGGAGGAGTAGGGGCAACTTGCAGAAACTTAACAATAATTGGCTGTTGCCTATAATTTTCAAGAAAAAGCTGGTGATAGTGCCTCATTTCACAAATTAGAAATTTTAGATATTTTTATTTTTGAAACTGAGATTGATTTTTAAAAATTTAGCATGCTTATCAAGCATAATTAATGTTCTTAATAATTATAAAGCTGTTGCATGCTTTCAGGTGTGGATATTTTTTAAACTTTTTCTAAGCTGTAAGGAAATTTATGTCTACTTCTTTTAAAAAATAATATTTTAAATCGGAACTAATGGAAAAATTCAAACAAACAATTTTCTCTTACAATTGTTATGCTTTTTATTGGTGTAAATAATTAAAAAATACTAAAATCAAAAAAATGGATTTTTGAAAGTTTTTGTTTAAAATTCTTAATTGTACTGCTTTTTAAAAACTATATGTGAATTTTATAGCATAATATTCTACAAAGGAGTTTTATTTCAATAATATTTCTTAATACATCATAGTGATAAACACTTTTAACACTTAAGTAATTTTTATGCATTTATTCTAATGTTAAAAATTGTATTTAACTGTAATTATTAATTACGCTAGTATTTTATAGTGATTATTTTTTTAAATTTATTTCTAATTCTGCATAAGTTTTCTTATTTATTGTGAATTTATTTTATTAGCCCAAAGAGGCGGCAGCTCAGAAAAGCTATTAGTTTCGAAACAGCATTTTGCATTGTTTCACTATAAATGTCTGTTTCACTTTGCAAACTGTTGCCACCAAATACTGTCGCCCTGTATTATATTTAAAGAAATTAAATAATGAAGAATCTACATGAATGCATGTATGTTTCTCGCATTGTGAAAAAATGACGGAATTTAGAGCCATCAAATTTTGAATAACGTAATCCTCCACCCGAACATGGGCCCCTGGACGGCCTAATTTCGAATTTGTTTTATCCATTTCATATTTTGTAATTATAACAAACTCAACGAGTTCAAAGCGAGCAATAGCAACCTTGTATAGAAAATAACATTTTTATCTCCAGCGTGGAAATTCTAAAGATATGCTATTTTCATATATTTTGTCATAGTGCTCTTGAATTAAATTTTATGTGGTTTACTTGCGAAGAACACGATATTTAATGAATAAAGGTAACACCAAAACATTACAAAAATGCTCCTTTGGCCATAATATAAAATCAAATCTGAGTGCTTTCAGAGTTTATCTTTTTTTTCCTCATTACACTCAGAAAAGTTTATGCTCCGAATTTTATGAACTACTAAAATAAATAATCATCTTGTAATGTTAATAATTAATTATCATATAATCAAATAAATGCTCGTCTTGTTATGTTATAATAATTTTAAAAACTACTACCTGAAAATGCTCATAAAATCAAAGAAAATTTTCAGTTCTTGTTTAATTTTACCTTATTTGTTTCAAAGCATCTTTTGCTATCAATATTATTTAATTTTACTTTATTTGTACACAAAAATAAGTTCATAAGTTTCGCATTTAGAATTTTGACCGTTTTACTAATGTAAAGAAATTTATACAAGAACTACACGTGAAAAAAATGCGCAAAATGCAGTAAAAAGTGCTTTAATGAGATATATTAAATCTTATTTGCGAAAACTCTGACTTTCATAATCTCATCACTTATACAACGTATCACATTTAATAATAATGAAAAACAGTTATGTGATACAAACGCCATAGGTTTCCGTTTTAAAGTAAGCCAGATTGTCCCTTCCTTCTTGCCGACATGTGGGTGACGCCCACTCCGCCCACTGGGTTAGTCTATCTCTTATAAGGTCCATGGCTGACAGTTGTTAATTCTTGACGTTTCTTTACATTCGTTGCATCAACAGTTTGATTTGATTTGTGTTGTTTATTTGCTATTATACCTAGTCAGAAATGGCAAATTGTGCTATAGCTTTGTTTCAGAATTAAATAAGAAAAACTAATAGTCAGGGCCTCGCATACTATCTTGTAAGTTATGGATTGTTTACTGGAAAAGAGCAGATAATTTCAACATCAAAAGTGCAAGAATATGTGCTCTTCATTTTACACCTGATGACTACGTACAGGATCTAAAGGCAGAGTTGCTTGATTCAACTCCTAATAGGGTGCTGAAAGCCAATGTTGTTCCCACTTTACATCTTCCATCATCATTATGTGAAAATAACTCACCAATAAATTATATATATTATGCTTCAAAAACTGAAGTTAATCTGGAGAGAAAGATTTCTAACATGAATGATTCATCCAAATTTGTGCTAAAAAGGGATAGAGCAAGCAGGTGCCAGGCTCGGGAAACAAGGAAACGAGCGTTGGAAAATTTAGCTTCCCTTTTCCCCAAAAAGAAAAAGCCGCAAGCTGATAAGATAGACTGTGTAACTCAGTTTACATCCAGTGACACATCTCATTTAGTTGAGTGCGTGAAAATGTTAGAAAAGGAAAATAAGAAATTAAATATGCTGTGCTGTCAGTTAAAAATGCAAGAGAAAATTATTTTTACTGAACTTGTTGCTTCTCATAAAAAAATTGCATAGCTTTCAGAAAATGAGCAGGAAAGTAACAAGCAAACAAGTATATAGAGAAGTTAAAAAGATTTTAGGGACAATTTTTACAGACAACCGAATTCATTATCTCATGTCAAATAAAAATTTTGTTAAGTAGAATGCAGATGACACTTGCAAATCTGCAACACTTAAAGCAGTATGCTACAGCTAATCTCAGACAAAAAATGGGATTTTCGTTTTTTAGCATTTTGCCTTTGAAGAAATGTGTATCCTGTTCGTTTTGATGTTCTTCTGGTTTGCTACATGATGTGATTCAGGTTATGTGTGCTAGGGCATTAAAGATGACAGACCAAGAACGTATGTGTGCTCTTTCATTCAATGAAAGGAACATAGATAGCAGAATCTGTTATGACCAAGCAGAGGATAAGATTGTTGGCCCACATAGAAATGGTAATGGTGTGAGGACATTTTGCAAGCTGGAAGCAGCCAATATATTTTGACTTTGATGCACAAATGACTGCAAAAATATTGAAAGATATAATAATAACATTGGCAGAAATTGGATATTATATTATTGCAGCTGTAGCTGACTTGCTTGGTAAAAATCATGCTGTATGGACAAAACTTCAGATTACTTATCGTAACAGCTGTTTTACACATCCCAGGACTGTAGTAAAGGGTTGTGGGGGTTTGATGATGTCTAAAGGCTAAAGACAATTACGTCTTCACAATTACTTCTTGGATGATGGATTAATGCTTCCAGGAAATAAATTAATTACAAAAGAACCTATCAAAAGATTGTTATCAATGGATTGAAAAGAAGTGAAAATTTGCTCAAAGTTGTCTGTAAGTTACATTGCTATTAAAGGAAATGAACACCAGCATGTGCATTTAGCTGCACAGTTATTTTCAAACCATACTGCACAAGTATTCACTATCTTATACCAGAAGAAGAGGACACTGCAAATGTTTTTGAACTAGTGAATAATTCATTTGCTATTGTAAATGTCAAGAAACTTGTCTGTGGTACAGTATTAGCTTGTGCATATGGGATACATGAAACAATCCAAGAGAGAACAAGAGATTTGTTGAAAAAACAAATTATCTGAAACTGGAATGCAGTACATGCAAAAGCATTTAGAAGACTAAAAGATGTTTTAGTAAATAAACCTCTTTTACAGTATTATGATAAAAACATGACAGTAGTTTTATCTGTAGATGCACCTCAAGAAGGACTAGGAGCAGTCTTACTGCAGAATAATTTGCCAGTAGCATATTCATCTAAGGCATTAACATATACACAGAAGAATTATGCTCAAATTTAAAAGGAAACTTTAGCTATTGCATTTACACACAAATTTCACCAGTCTATATTTGGAAAATATAATACAGTGGAAAGTGACCATAAACCATTGGAATCAGTTTTCAAAAATCCATTAAATAAAACCCAATAAGATTACGAAGAATGCATTTAAGATTACAGCCGTATCAGTATGAGATAAAATATAAATCAAGAAAAGAACTTTTTATAGGGGATGCATTATCAAGATCATTTACCGATGAAGGATCTAATTTCTTAATTCTTTTTTAATGCTATATATAACTAGAGCCTGGTTTAAGAGAGTTATGGATGTATGGTATAATTTTTCGTGTGACCTAAGGTACCACACGTATAACTAACAAATTTGTAAAAATAGCAGAGCACAATGCAGAGTAGTGCAATAAAATGTCAAAAAACAAACTACTTTTTTTACATTATCTATTAATTATAAAAACAGAAGTTGAATTATATATGCCAGATAAAACAGAAACTCTAAAATAAAAATTTTGAGCAGCGAGATAGCAATGAGAGAAAACTTTCTCCTGATGTCCTTTTTTTTGCACTCTTGTTAATACAAGTAAAAGTGAATTGATTGTGAATTCATTATAACTTTTTGTTCATTACTGATGTCATTCACATCAGTAGTATGTATATTACTGATATCAATCACATTCAGTATTCTGTATATTACTTATATCATTGACATCATTCAGTATATTACTGATATTCACATCAGTATACAATAAACAGTGCTTACCTGAAAATTTAGCAGTGACGAAATGCCGAGCTAGAAGAAGAAACAGAATTAAAGAAATGGTTGTGAAAATCCTCATGACAGAAAAAGGAAAAAAAAAAAAAAAAAAGCTATAGTAATCTCTTTGGTCAAACACCAAATGTGGTAATGTGGCAGAATGTGCATGCATTCATCATAAAATATAGTTCCATAATTTCATAGTTTCACATCAAGAAAAACATGCTGTGAACTATAAATATTTTTTAAGGAAAATGAATTGATTAAAAGTGCAAAAAAGTAATTTATTTCAAAAGATTTATTGAAACATTTAACAGTGAATTTGGGGGGGGGGGTTAGAGTCAGTGCATCAGGATAACTCCCACTAAAGCAAGTGATGTGAACAAGGTTACAAAAGGTCAGAATGAAGGAGACTGAGAATTTTCTTGGGGTCCACATTAAACATTTGCTGTGACCTGTATGTGACATCCATGCCACATTAACATCACAATGTGGTATCTCTGTAGCATTTTATTATGGTCACAAATGTAATATGACGAAAATGTGACACTGTTAAGTCACAGTTACTGTGTGTGCTGTATGGGATCTCCTAGTAGATCACTGAATCTCCTAGTTTCTAATTTTTAATCTTTACCAAGGTAATTGTTATCGAGCAATAAATTAGAAAGTTATTGAATCAATGAAATTTAAATTATGTAAATTCCATTACACATGTAGCGATTTTCAGCATTTTATTTGATCTGAATTATCTTAACCTACTGTAGACATTTGTAGAATTTTACGTGGAGATTCCAATGTTTAACTACTAATTCAGAAGTCAAACAACAAAAATCAGCGTTATATTTACACATTTGCGGTTTTGCAGCTGAAGATGGTGGTTCGGTAAAACCATCGAAACTAGTCCTGTGAAAATTTTGTAAATATAACGCTGATTTTTGTTGTTTGACTTCTCAATTAGTATTTATTCGGCGTGTTATTGTGTCTTAATGTTTAACTAGTTAACATTTGTATTTAAATTTGTTTTAAATCAATATATGGTATGCCCCTAAGTTTATTCATGCAGTAATGGTTGCCTTAAACCTTAATTTTATTTTCATCGTGTTTAATAGTGTGATAAATTAAAGGTTTCATCCTTACTCAGGATTTTCTCAGCATAAAAGTGGAAAGAAATTACAAAATTAAATTTATCAAAGAACATAAAATTTAGAGCATCAAATTAAATAGTATTAACATATTATAGCATCAGAATTATAACTTAAATTCTTGAATAACCTGAATCCTGCATTATAAGATAATTCAAATTAATTTGGATACCTTTTGAAATGGTATCATTGTATAGCTTAAAAAAACTTCATGGAAACTTTCAGTTTTTCCTGTTTCGAGGTTGGCAGCTGTTATGTAACTCTGCCTATTCTGATGATGATTCAGGTAGAGCAGTCTCGTACCCAAAGAATCTTTAGAGCAGTTTGGAAAAGAATGCTGTAAGGGAGGTTTTTTTTTTTTTTTTTTTTTTTAAATCTTGAGTATCAAACCATAATTATAGTGGCTTAAATCTTGTTGTATAGTGGATAACAGAACACTTACAAGCCTCACTGAGAGTGCAGATCTGCTATGGGCTGTCCTACGTGCATCGGCATGTAAAATTATGCATAGATTGTGATGAAAATATCAATACTTCATTTGCATATCAAAAATAATCATAAAACATTAACATAGAAATGAAATTAAAAAAAAAAAAAAAAAAAAAAGAGGTGCAAGTCTTATTTACTGTATAAAAAAAATTACGAATTGCAGTTTATTCAGAGTGAAACTCCGCCACGAAAAAGTTAATGCTTTAAACTGTAAAATGTATAATTATCATAACTTTTGTCATAATTATGCTGGAATTAATATAGGCTTTATGCATATTAAAGTACAGAAATAAATAATAAAAAAGCTGTTTATTTATATTTTCTATTATTCTCTTTTATTCTGTTTTGAAACACAATTGAATGTTATACATAGAAACATGGTCATATGTTTACATAGAAACATGGTCACTGTATTGAGAATGAGACCATAGAATAGAAACATGGTCACTGTATTGAGAATGAGACAATAATATTCGCATAATTTTAGGTAGTAAAAGCATTGTTTCAGCATTTTATAATCTCTGATTAGAGGTGTCATATGTGCAGATTTAAATGGCAGGCAAAGAATTATTTCAGAATCGCAAATGTAAATATACTTACAGTTTAAATAATATAATTAGATACTGCTTATGCTTTTGTGTATTTTGCTGTGGTAAACTTTTGAAGGCAGGAGGCAGTGATGTCATTATAAGTGATTATCTTTTGGAAAGAAGAATGTTTATTGTATATGTATGAGACTAGTAGGTAATTTTCTTTTTCCTGAAGAACCATTGATCTATGAGCTTGTCATTATTAATCATAAAATCATTGCTATATATTATCTTTTATTCTTTTATTCATTGCTATATATTATCTTTTATTCTTTTATTCATTGCTATATATTATTTATTTTTGCAGGATCATTATTTTCTGTATTTTTACAATTTTAATTTCATGAGACTAATTTTTTAACACATAATAAGCTTGCATGCACTGAAGTAGTTTTTTTTTAAATCTTACTTTGTATGCTTTTGCATTTTTTGTACAGTTAAATACATTTTTTATTTTACTGATTTATTTTTTATTTTTATATTATTTTTGTTGCTTTTCTTCCCTGTCTAGATATTTGTTTTACATTTTGAAATTTTGATATTCTTCAGTTGCCATTATGATCATATATTACCCTTGTATGCTGTATCTTTGGATGGTGCAAATCTTTGTTTAATGTACCAACTTATGGTTAATGGCTCTTTAGAAGATAGGCTGCTATGTAAGGTTAGTAAGTCAAAGTAAATGAAAAATTCAATTTTAAATTTTATTTTCAATTTATCATTAATTAATGATACAGTGATTTATGTTATTTATTTAAATAATCCTTTTAAATAAACGTATTTATTTGAAATACAATTGATGTCAATAACATTTTCATTGAATTTAGGTATGTCATTTATTATGCTTTTTTTCAATTGAGAGCATAGTTAGAGTGCTTAGTCTGTCCTCGCTCATAGTTCTTAAAAATGGCTCGACTCATTTTAGAGTTGAGAAGCATATCTCAGGTTCAGCAGTGGTCATTGGAATATTAATAATAATTAGCAACAGTTTGTAGGTCTCTGAAAACATACTCTGTTAGTTGTTTTCTATAATAAATTGTAGAAGACTAATGCTACCAGTCATAATCTGAAATCTGATCTTTTGTAAATTACTCCTAGTTTAGTTTTCAGATAATTCTTCTAAATAGGAATAAACATCAATTGTTTGGTCAAGAATCTGACAAACCTTTTCTCTTACTCTTGGAATTTTGTAGCCTGCAGGAGAGAAACAGCAGAGTAACAAATAAAGCAAATCTGTCTTGTATTTAATTCATGATAACATCATATATATCTTTAGCTGCTACAGTCCTATTTATATGACTGTTTTCTCCCTTCGTTTTTCTTGAAGTTTCACATGATTCCACTAGTTCCTTCTCTAATGATTGCTGGAAATCGTTTACTTGCTTTCTAATGGGTGTTGCAATTATTCCATTTGAGTTTTGAAGCTGGTTTTGTAACACATTGACATGTGGCATAATACTGTGAAACACTGTAAGCCAAAACACAAGTTCCAACTCTTCTAACATACGGTGGATAGCCCCTGCTTTATTTATTGCTATAACTTGTTTAGATGTTGACTCTTATTTTTTTCCATGCATTCAATTAACTGTTCTCTATATTCATGCATTTTGTTGATAGTTTGACTCTTGAAATTCTATCACCTGGTAGCTGAACTGTGAGGTATCCTTTTTCTAACATTTTCATCTAAAATAGCAAATCTGTGTGGAGAGTAATTGAAATATTGAGTAATATTGCTGAAATTAGGAAAAAAATATTTGAACTTACTGTTTCTGAGTTGTTGCTTGCCCAAGAATCAAATGGAGCTAATGCGCATAGCAGTGCACAAATTGTGTATTCTTGTTGATACCCTGAATAAAAGCTTGAACACAAGTGGGATGACTGCTCATCAAGCCTGTACCATCATTAGCTATCATTAGCAGCTAAGCTATCAACTTCTAAATCATCACGATTATAATATATACCATATTTGCAGTGTAATATTAGTAGGAGTGCTATGTTTATAATTTAAGCCATCTCTTCAAAAATCTTCTCTACATCCTCTATTTTCCTCTCCTAGTTTTTAAAAGCACACATAATTACACACTAATATTATCATATTATGTATTTAAAAGCCTTTAACAATTTTAATTACCTTTTTTTTTTATTTACATAAAATACTTTTCCATTTGAGTTTTACGTTGTAACATTTTGCATTGTTACCTTAAATTAGAAGTTTCTAAATCATACACTGAAAGAAATAGGAGAGATGAAACATTAGGGGGCAAATTGTACAAACGAATATAGTGTATATATATATATATAATCTTTAAATGGTTATGTAAAAGTTTTGCAATTAGACATATATTTTCTAGAAGCATGCACACAGAATCTTTAAAAACCTGATAATTTCGAGAAGTTTTCTCAATTTTAGTGCCAGTATGGTGCACACACGCATATATATGTAGGCCAATCTAGAAATAAGGTTCCCAAAGAGCTCTAGCCGCACAGGAAGGTGCGAGCAGAAATCCGGCAACACCACTGTCCGGCTGAGCAGTTACCTTAAATTAGAAGTTTACCACAACACCACTGTCCGGCTCAGCAGTGGTAACACCACTGTCCAGCGATGGCAACACCACTGTCCGGCTCAGCAGCCGCCCGAGATGGAGGTGCCCCAAGTGTGATATTTGTTCCATAATTCGCTTTTTGTACAGCAAAGGGAGTTCACCCATGAATATTCATCGTCAGTTGACAGAGGTGTATGGCGACAAGTGTACGTTTGTTAAACACATTCCAAAGTAGTGCAGGGAGTTAAGTGCCGGTCGGAAGGATGTCTACGCTGAAGAACAGAGTTTAAGACCGTCAGTTTTGGAGGTGATTGTCGAGATGGTCCAAAGCGAAGTGCTTCAAAACAGGAGGATCACCGTCCGTGAACTTGTTGCTCAGTTTCCTGGGAGTTCTTATTGTACAGTGGAAAGAGCTTTGACTGAAAAACTGATCATGAGTGTTGTGCTTGATGGGTACTGCATATGTTGACAGCAGAACACAAAAAGAAACGAACAGATAAGAAGGATTGTTGGACTCACATGGAATGAAACATGGGTGTTTAATTTCACTCCCGAAATGAAACAAAAGTCCAAACAATGGCATCTCTCAGGGTCACCATTTGCAAAGAAGTTCAAACAAGCTCTTTCTGTTGGCCAGTATGTCATGGCCAGTGTGTTTTGGGATTGTAGGGGGATAATATGATCATTGACACAGGAGCTAATGTTACTATTATTCGGAAAGATTTAGCTCAACAGTTTAAAAATAAACTTATTTGGGACACCATCCTGTGTTACCCTCCTGACTGCTTCCGGTGATAAAATTGACATAGATGGGAAGTTAAACGTGACCATAACGTTTGGAAGTGCTGCCTACTATTACACGGCATATGTGGCAGATATTACAGATTCTTGCATACTTGGATTGGACTTTTTAAGGAAATACAATTTTTCTTTGAACTTTAACAGACTGCTTTCAGCATCAGCATAACTATTCATCATCAGGAGAGATCCTCACCTGGAAACGCCGATGCCTTGTCTGAAAGACCCTGCTTAGAAAGCTGCTTCAATCGTACTATGGTTGAGAAGTTGAAATATGAAGCTAAAAAGAAAATACCAAAAAAGTTGAAAAATTCTGATATTTTTTTAGTCATGACAAATTCAGCTCAGTGGTAAAGATAAGTGGTCATCTATTCGTAAATCAAACAACATGAGGACAGCATTTCACAATATTATTCAGTTTATTAAAGAACCAAAGGATTGAGCCACACAAAAGACAGTAGACACATTGGATCAGATGTGCACGTACTAGAAAAATTCACCAAAGGCTTTTTGTGCATTTTATGGCATGATAAATATCAGTTTAATGAATGCATATGTTATATATGTGATTAATATAGCTTGAAAATCTGAAAAGGCAATATCAAGAAAAAGTTCGCAATAAAGCTAGATGCAGATATTCTTGCTCCATGGATGAAGAAACGTTAAAACATACCAGCTTTGCCTGGATCAGCAAAAACAGATAAGGGAACTATTGAAATTAGATTTGAGCATTTAACCTCCAGAACAAACTGACTGTAAAGGAAGAACAATTTGCACATTTTCCCTGTAGAATTTGTGCAGAGTCACATGCAACGTTTGTCAAGCATGTTCCAGAGCAATGTGCGGAGAACATCATGCTGGTATGCGTAATGACTACTTTGAGAATAAATAAATGATACTTTGTCACTAACTTGAAGTTTGAGAGTCATGAAATCATATGCAGGTAGTATATGTTTATTTGAACTGGTTTTTAAGTAGGTTTTAAACATGCTTATGCACACTTTGTCTCGGAGACAAATGGCTACCATTCCTGTAAGTTTTTCAAAGGGTAGCATTCTAGGGTTAATTACCTGTTATTCATATCTTCCACGTGCCATTTCTGCATACCCTTTCCTTTACAAAATCTGCTTATTTTAGTCTCCTTTACATGCCTTTACAATTCTGCCTGGTGTTTTAGAACCATGTGTATTATTATAAATAAATACTATATAACGGTTGGCCATAATTAAACTGACAGTGCTCACAGTATTCTGTAGCGCGATCTATTTGCGAGAATGACGCCACATTTTGTAGGAAGATTAAACAAGACGGGGGACAAAGGATTCCATGAAAAAAAAAAAAAAAAAAAAAAATAGTTCCAAAAGTCAACACTAGGGGAATATTTGGCACTGTGTAATAGAAAACAGAGTGTTAACAAATGCAATTCAATACAGAAATTACCTTTTATTTTGCATTCAAATGAGGTTCAATGTGGCTGCCGTTGTTGTGGACCACATATTGCATTCTGTGCACAGTATGCACAACAGCAGAAAGTAACATGTCTGCAGGAATCTCCCATACAGTCCGTGATGTGTTATCCTTCAACGTAGCCAGGTCCTGGGCCACTCCTTGATAGACCTTGGACTTAAGGTAACCCCATAGCCAGGAGTCGCATGGGGTAAGATCAGGCGACTGAGGTGGCCACGCAGAGCGGATAATGACTCTTTCTGTTGTGAATTTCTGTCGTAGCATCTGTTTGTTGCACCCATACAGCAACGTGTGGAGGGGCTGCATCTTGCATGAAAATGATTTACCCCAGGCGTTGTCTTTGCTGAAGTGCCGGAATGACAAAGCTGTTCAACATGTGGCGATATTTCTGTACGGTAACAGAACAGGTTTCCGGTCCTGTCGGGGTAATGTTCTCATAGAAGAATGGACCTACGATAAATTCCGCTGTGAACTCATACCAAACAGTTACCTTTGGTGAATGTAAGGGAATTGCTATAACTGCATGTAGTGATTTGTCATCCCAAATTCGGCAGTTCTGGGTATTCACAGTTCCATTCAGGTAAAAGTGGGCTTCGTCTCCTCATAAGATTTTCCACGGCCAAGCATAATCCACCTCCATTCTGGCTAGAAAGGTGAAAGCAAAAGTCAATCACAAGCAAAGTGGTCGGGGTATAGTAACTCCTGTACACGGCTGATCTTGTACCGATAGAAGTTGATAATCTTTCGTAAGATTTTGCATACCTTACTGTAAGGCATATCCATATTCCATAAGGCATATCCATAATAAAAGGTAATTTTATTCCGTATTAATTTGCATTTGTTAACACTCTATTTTCTATTACACAGCGCCAAATATTCCCCTAGCGGTGACTTTTGGAACTAATTTTTTTTCGCGGAATCCTTCGTTCTCTGTCTTGTTTAATCTTCCTACAAAATGTGGCGTCATTCTCACAACACTGTGAGCACAGTCAGTTTAATTATGGCCACCCGGTATTTATTGAATTGGTAATTTGTCTCTCTGTAATGCATCACAATTTTTTATGCTGTATAAAGAGCATCATGTAATAATAATTGTGAATAAGTGAGATTAAACGCCAAAGTCTGATTAAATTATATGAACATGTAATAAAATGCCAAATGTGATTGAAATGATTCTTGTTGATTGGTAAGTATAATAACTGATAATTATTATCCAACCAGTAATATAATTATGATCTTTACTATGCTGATTGACCTTGTAAAATGTATTCATAATAAAATTTTCGGTCTATGTAATCTAATTAATTTTTTATTTTATTTTATTTATTTATTATAAAAAATTTTTTAGAACAATACTGCACCCTTAACATGGTCTCAGAGGAGTCACATAGCAGAATTCATAGCTAAAGGCTTGAATTATTTGCAAACTAATCCAAGAAAACCTATTATTCATGGTAATATAAAAAGGTATGTTAAATTTAAGTTGTGAATGAAAATTTTATATTTAATGCTCTTAGCAGCATGGTTGCTTTTATCTGGTCATGAAATTTAGTATTTCTTAGTATCGGGTCAGTCCATAAGTTTGTGCGCATTAAGAGTATGCGTGGAATTCACTATGACCCATTTACTAAAACAATAGAATTTTGAACCTGTTCAAACTTGTCATCATTTGACTACATATTATTCAGTTCATCATCAACTTTCGTAAATATCGAACGCGTTTTAGTACCCATAGAAGATAAATATAAACAATCAGTACAAACGTGCTGTGCTTCATTTTTTATTTTCGTGTGGTGAATCTGCCAGGTTTGCAGCGATAAAAATTAATAGTGTACGTGGTGAACACACTATTGGTGTAAGGACTACCCAAAAATTTAACGTTGGAAAAAGCAGCATTGATGATTAACCCTGTTCAGGACATTTTGAACTGTTAGAACCAAATCAAACGATTAATTCAGAAGTTTATAGTGAACAACTTTGCTGTCTAAACTCAGAATTGATGAAAAAATGCCCATGATTGGTGTATATCAAGAAAGTGTTGTTTCATCATGATAACGTAGACCGCATAAGGCTCAAACAACGCTGGAAAAATGAGTGAATTTAATTGGGAGCTTTTGCCATATCCTGCTTACTCCCCAGATATTGCCCCAAGTGATTTTCAGTTATTTCATGCCTTACAAAATTTTTTACTGAGAAAAAAATTAAATTCTAAACAGGATGTACACAATGAACTTTTTTGCATCAAAACCAGAGTCTTTCCACAGCAATGGCATAAAAAAGCTGCCTGTAAGATGGCGAGACATTATAGATAATGGAGGAAAATATATAATTGATTAAAATGTTAAATTGTGTTTTTTTATACTATTTAAAAATTTACCAAAAAATGCGCATGGATTTATGGACTGACCCAATAGATAGTAAACTTAAATGCTATGATTCATCGGTGGAGAAAGGATTACTCTCCTATCCAGTGAAACAAAGCATTCTCAGTTTTATCGTACATACGCCATAGGCTGCTTTCATGCTGCCATGTGATATGGTATTGTCTTATAGCTAATCATGCATAAGTGACTGTTAAGTTATATGTTTCCATATTAATTGACTTTTAGTGAAGTTTCGGATACATACTTTGGAAGTAAACATGATGAAAATGATAATGTAGCACATGTCTCCAAATTCATTAACCTCTAAATTTGATCTCCCACCCCCTTAAAAAGTCTGATGTACTACATCAAGGATGTCAAACTCGCGGCCACAACAAATATTTTTGCGGCCCGGCCAATATATCAGCAAATAATAATATATAATAATAAAATAACATATCGATGAAGAAAAAAAGGAAATGTTTACTGCTAAGTAATTAACGATAATTTATTCAGTGTTGTTAGATTACTCACAGCGAGCTAACACACACACTACTTAAATTACAAATGCGTGTGAGTAGCTTGCATTCAGCTACCTTCGGCTTTTGGGGGACACGTGCACTCAGAACTTGTAAGCATCCCCCGATAGCCGAATGTGGTCGAACTCATGGTCTCAGTTTTCCAATCATAGTTTTGTACGATATATTGGTGCATGCATGTGCATGCACTTTGCTTTATTATTAATTATTACTTAATTCATATTGTTATGGATTTCACAGTTATTTATTTATTTAGTTTTTTTTATTTAGAATTGTAATTAGATTTGCTTCATGTTGCCTTAGCAACGCAGATGATTTTGAAAAGACAGCTGCGTTGGAAGGTTTAAAAATAGAACAGCGCGTGCATTTAATACCTAATAAATAAATATCTCGTAATTGCTGTTGCCATCCACAAAAATCCAGATATTTATAGATGTTTACAGTATATTCGAGAAATTAATTATAAAGCTTATAAAAGTCGAGAACAAACAACTCATCTCAGTAGTAGCTGTAGTTTTAGTGAACTGTTTGTTTACTTAATGCTGTGATTGATTTGTAGCGATTTTGCTGTGAGATAGAATTAGTTTCTCTGTTTTGAATTGATTTTTGCTAAACGTTTGACATTTTGTGATATTGTTAGAATATTTTTGAAGAAATATTTCAGCATTTTGATTTATCTCTCTTGTGGAAAGAATAAATTTTTGTTAACTTTTTAACGTTAACCGTGTTTATTCCAGCCCTTTGTATTGCCCTTTAAATTGTTTGTCTATATCAAAACCAAGTGGTAGTAAAATTAAACGAAAAATCGCTGACGAACATAGAATATTCCAAGTAAAATGGGAATTAGAATATTTTTGCTGTGAAATAAAAGATAAAATAATCTGCTTGATATGTAATAATACTATTAATGTACCAAAGTTATATAATATTAAACGTCATTACGAACAACACAAATCGAAATATAACAATTACGAAGGATTAATGAGAGAAGAAAAGTTGAAAGAGCTCAAGTTAGGAGTGAAAAAGCAACAGTCCATGTTTAGTAAAGTATTGCAAGAAAGTGAAGCAGCGGTACATGCAAACTACGTCTTGTCCGAGTTGATAGCTAAACATTCGAAGCCTTTTACTGACGGTGATTTCATCAAGGAATGCCTAATGAAAGCTGGAGAAATTGTTTGTCCTGGAAATGTGAAGGCTTTTCAATCAATTTCATTGTCTCGAAATACAGTTGCGGAAAGAGTTACTGATTTAGCCGCGAATTTAAGTGATCAGATCAAAGCAAAATTATCTAGTTTCGAAAGTTTCTCCATTGCCTGCGATGAGAGCATGGACATTAGTGGCAAAGCTCAATTAGCAGTGTTTCTTCGTTCTTGTGACAAGAATTTTTAACATTTTTGAGGAATTACTGGAACTAATACCGATGCCCGGTACTACCACAGGAGAAGATATATTTACTTGTGTTTTTGGACTTCTTCAGAAATACAATCTACCTTTGGCAAAATGAAATTCTGTAGCTACAGATGGCACTCCATCAATGACCAGGAAAAACAAGGGCTTCGTAGCATTACTAAGAAAAAAACTTAGTGAAATTCACGGTTCAAACATTCATCATATGCATTGTATTATACATCAAGAAGTTCTATGCACGAAAGTAATAAATATGGAGAATGTTTTGTCATATATAAAAAAAGTTATAAATTTTATAAGTTCTTGAGGTTTAAATAAGTGTCAATTCACTGCTTTCTTAAGTGAGCTAGATAGCGAATATTCGGGTTTGTCCTACTATACCGAGGTACGTTGGTTATCGTGCTTTAAGATTCTCAAACAATTCTGGGATTTGAAAGAAGAAATATGTCAGTTTTTAAAAACGAAAAATCAAGATGTAAGTTTGTTTTACAATCCAATATGGATACAAGATTTATCTTTCTTGGTTGACATAACCCAACACTTAACCGATTTAAATTTATCGTTACAAGGAAAAGATCATATCATTACGAACATGTTTGACATAATTAAAGCATTCAAATGTCAACTAGTTCTTTGCGAAAAACAACTTAAAAATGAAGATTTGATGCACTTCCCGACGTGCAGCATGAACAAATCAAGTTTAGATGATACTTGTTCATATCAAAAATATGCAGAAAAATTGCAAATTTAACAACTGAATTTGAAACAAGGTTTAATGATTTTAGTTCCCTCGAAGACAAATTTTTTCTGTTTTCTTCGATTTTCTCAATAAGTATTGACTCAGTACCCAGCCATATGCAAATGGAGGTGATCGAGATTCAATGCAACTCAAATTTGAAAGCAAAATTCATTGAAGTGGGTATGCCTGAATTTTACAAATATTTACCAGCCAGGTTTGAAAATACTCGAAAATTTGCATATGAAATTATTTCCATGTTTGGTAGCACTTATCGGTGCGAGCAGTTATTTTCAGTCATGAAGTGTAATAAGTCTCCTATTAGAAACCGTATTAATGACGCTCACCTAGGGTCAGCGTTGAAAGTTATCACTGCAAACAAAATTTCTCCCGAAATAGGAAAGATAATAGCAGAGAAGAGATGTCAAGTATCAGGACGTAAACATTAAATTTTTCTTGTTCTTTTCTATATAAATATATATATATATATATATATATGTTTATTATTGCATTATTCGAAATATATCTATGTTTCTATGAATATTGATTTTTTTTTTTTTTTTTTTTTTTTTTTTTTTTTTTTTTTGCGGCCCGCCTAAAGGTAAACCTTGTTTGTTTGGCCCAAGTGTACCTATGAGTTTGATATCCCTGTACTACATTATGCTGTTTATAAAAACTTAGGTTGTATCTTTGATTCTAATGTAAAGGAAGACAAGCAAATGTTATACAGATTTACTATAAATTACATTGTATAGCTATTTCCAATCATGTAAAACCCCACCAGTGGCCAAGTGAAAACCACTGAATACTAATAGTTTGACTTGGTTTGGGTTTGATCCCATGCAAATGGGCTGGTTGCATGGTTGGTTTGCATCGTTTTTCCTATGTATAACATGAAAATGCGTTAGTTTCCCTGACTAACTCATTTTCATGTTTCATTTTCAAGTCTTTCCTCTTCTTAGGCAGATAACCCTTGGCTTTGTCATAAAATAGCCATTTTCATGTGCTAACCAAGCATGTGGAAATTTTTAAGGAAAGAAAAAATAAGTTATATGATTAAGTAATAATAAAGTAATGGAACATTATTACAAACTATTTAGTAAATTGATGTTTATTGTTTATAAGTTTCTTACTGTAGTATGATATTTATATCCACCTAATCTTATCTTTAATATATCATCTATCTAATATATCATCTAATTTATCTATATTGTGTGAATGGTTTAATTTTAGAATAAATTACTGGATTAACTGTTAGCTGTTATTTTACAGTACAGAAATTGCCATGTTTTAAACACAGCCACTTATAATACTCAAATATGTTTGGAATGAAAGTGATTTTGATAAACATGTGTGTATTTGTGTATGTGTACATGTGTATATGTATGTATAATTGTGTATTTTTAATTATTAATTTTATACAAATTGTGCTAGAAAAAATTAATTAATTATTATTTATTTATTAACAATAGAATTATTAACATTAAATATTTTCCCTCTACTAAATTTCAGTTTTATATTTTTTAATAGTGCAAATATATTCTTGGAGGCAAATATGGATGCAAGAATTGGAGATTTTGGCCTCACTAGGGAAGGCCCTGGTTGTGATGATACAAATGTGAAAGAAACAAATTTACAGGGAACTGAATGCTACTTGCCACCAGAATATTTACAACACAGGCAGTTGTCTCCTCAAGTAGACATATACAGCTATGGCATTGTAAGATATTAAATAGTGTTTTTACATTATAAATTTCAGTAATTATTAATATTAAAGAAGTAATATTTTGATGTACAGTAGATTTCTAGGTTAATTATGCATATATGTGAATTTTTAAGGTCGAAAATGGAACTTTCCATTTGATATTGAATGTTTTATATATGAAAAATAAATAGTATAACTCAGGACAATTTTTATATTTCAAGTACTAATATTTTTGACAATAAATTAAATATTATGTGTGCTTATTGGTCACTTACACAAAAAGCATTGAAAAAATAACTGAGAAATTTAATTTAATTACAGTTTTAATTAAATCAAACTATTCCTACTTGATATAATCCAGTAAATATATAATCAACTTAAAAATACAAAACAGTTTTATGTCATCTACATTCTGATACCCATGGTAACTACAATATGGGGTTGCTAATGAGATATTTGGCATGAGAGCAAACATACAATGCTATCTTGTGTTACTAATGTGGCCATCAAACATGAGAGTAAGCATACAATGCTATATTGTATTGCTAACATGGCCATCAAGCATATTGTATGTTTAATGTGTTCTATATCAATGTAAAATTTATAGGGCAATCATATGAAAATTAAACTCATCTGAAAATTAAATTTCTTTTCACAGGAAAATTGTATTACTTTAACAGAAATTTCAAAAAGAAAAAAGTACTAAAATTATTCTAATCACTTCTGCCTTATCATGGTGTTTTCTAATTTAACTACATAACGTAATTAATGTAAGAGCTGCTTGCTTAATTGAACTTTAAAAATAAACAAAATGCAGTCTTGGATTAACATGAATTTCAGTTGTTAAATCATTGTGCATTTTGAGATATATAGCAAGTATAATTGACTCTTGAACAGCTCAAGTAGAGAAAAAGTTTTAGTTAATTTCTAGGAAAATTTATTGAAGATTTAATAGTTTGAAGAATGTTAACATGTTCACTTAAAAAATACTAAAATAGTTTTAAATAATTGATGTGTAACTGATACTTAAAACGTATGTAGTTATTAGTTTATTTTCTCATCTACTACCATAAAACATCAGAAGTTTATCAAAAATGTTTATTTTTGGATGTAAGCAGAAAAGGGTGCAATATAAGCTATAATTCCAAAAATAAATTTTTCTGTGTTGTTGAAATATCATGAAGAAGAAAGAACAGATAATATTGCTTTCATTCATTTCCTCACCCTGCAGTTATTTGGAGAATTGCTTGATTTAGAAATATCTAAAATATAACACATGATATTTTTTGATTCATTTTCTCACCTACAGTTATTTCGATGGTTGCGTGATTTAGAAATTTAATTGCCATGTTCTTCCTCTGTGAAATTTTCTATCCAGTTTTTAAAGGTTTGAATAGAGCTGAATTCTTGTGGAATTTGCAACTTTCTTGCCAGTATGTTTTAATATACATATATTAGTAATACTAATAGGTCATTGAAATTTCTAGTTAATATAAATCTTAACAGCAAAGAGAAATTAATAAATGGTTTATTTACTATGAATTTTAGATTACCATTGCTTTAGATTCTTTTCATTTTAGGTTTTGCAAAAAGTTCCTTTAATTTATCAACTGGACTTCTAAATTTTCACATGCATAGATTGTTTTCAGTTTTAAATGCTTCTGCATCAGAAACATTATATACATTTTGATAAGTCTGGAATATATGTATTACATTCAAGGAAGTAATGAATTTCAGGATAATTTGAAAATCTAATTTGTTTTTTACCTGTTGGCTGGTACTATGTAGATATATTGTAATAAGGGCCAAAAGATTTTTTTTTTAAATCAGTAATAGGCAACTCTAATCAATAACATTTTTATCTTTGCATTTACATTCCAAATGTAATGGAAATATCTATGTCTTAAATCAATTCCACCTAAGAAAGCCAAGATGTTTTATGTATAGCAAATGTAAAATATGCAAGTGTGTAAGGAAATTAAAGAACTGGCTGTCCAGAGATTCTTGTATATTCCAAATGTCAGAACATTTCTCAGAACATACAAGTAAATATTTCATATAAAGTTAATATTAAAAAGAGTGAAATAAATAAGGTATTACATGATATTCAGTATTCTACATATATTTAAGAATGAAAAACCCTCAAATAATTTCGATGGACGAACTTTATATTCAGGTATAGTATTATTGAAAGACATATGCTGTGGAAGGTGTTAATCCTTACATTCTTTTCCAAGAATATTATGTATATAATTTTTTTATTAGTCTTCTCTTCATTATGGGTGTTTTGTTCATAATTTTAACTTTTGGTTATTCTGAACAAATGTTTGTATAGCTTATTAACGACTAAATCTCTGCACAAGGGCAGAATATTTGCATCTGAAAAAATCTCAATATATCTTTTGAAATACTTTGTGTTTTAATAATTGAAGTTAATGCTGAGATTGCAATGTTAAGTCAAATCATGACCACTAATGAGAACATGCATATCTGGTAGAGTACTCATCTTTCAAACTACAGCATGAAATTACAGGCAAACAAAAACCAGTACTTTCAGAGTATAATTTCACACACAGGCAACATTTTCCACTAGGCTTGTGTAGCTGTATCGGAATTAATGGAATGATGAAAAGATCATAAAAGTGTTAAATTTGAGCAACTGATATTAAATACATTTCATTAAGAACCAGAGATGTTTCTGCAAATGTGAATAATTAAAAAAAATTATATTAGGTATTAGATTATTTTTAGATTTTAATAATTTTCATATTGTCTTTATTAGAATTTCCACAGATGTACATCGCAGAGTAATCTTATTCCAAAATTCAAGCCAGAAATTTTATGCAGAGTAATTTCATTCCAAAATTCAAGCCAAAAATTTTAGTTGCTGTAATCCCCCCCAAACTTCTAGAATGCAAGAAACATTCCTGAGATTACAAAAAGTTGCCCACCATTGCTTACCAATAACAAGAAGGAATTTCAGTACTGAACAGTCCCTTTTTACTTCCTTGTACGAATTAAAGGAAGTATTGTAATCGCGAAACCTTTCGGGTATCATGTTTCAACAAAAACATCCATTTGACCGCTATTGAATGCAATTTAACGATGTTTTTGTGTGACATCTGTATGTAAGGACAGTATAAAGACTTTTTTTCCCCAAGATAGGTTGCGAAAGGGATTTAAAATGGATTCAGAAGAGATTTTGTCGTGACATGTGTATATACCTTGCATAACTCAAACGAGTAGCCTCAGAACTTTGAAATTTTGTATATAGGAATGCTATAACCTGTAGTTGTGCACCTCCCTTTTCGGTTACAATTGGCTGCATCAAAAGTACATATATATATATATACCCACTCTATTACATTGCTCCATGAACCCAGTTTTTTATTCATATATGTTGGTAAATTGTGCATTTTTTGCTTTAAAAATGATTGAATTATGTTGTTCTTGTCTTGCAGTTAAGGTATTTATGCCTTTAGTTAATATGCATGCAATAGTTGTAGAATTATCAACAATTCAAAAGTTGTTTAATTGCGGCTGAACCTAATTTTTTTTAACATAGCAGCCATATTGGTTTACATTCGAAACTTAGCAGAATAGTGAATTAAGTCAGTTTCTGCACCTTCAAATGTTTTTTTGTCAAGTGTAACCAAAAGTAAATGCAGTTTTGTGCACTGAAAAATCAGCCTTTTAGCCCACTGGCCGAATTGCTTGTTTTTGCATAGAAATTCTAATTTTATTTGCAAAAATTTGTTTTTAATTATTTTAACTGTGTTTGGTGTTTTACATTTTTCTATATTTCAAAATTTTAATGAAGATAATTTGGTATTTTTTGTATTTTTGCCTTGCCGGAAAATGAGAAATGAATTAATTGAATGAGAAATATATCTCTAATAAAATTCAAGGTAATAGGTTTAAATGAAATGCAGCAAAAAAAAAATGCATATAGTGTAATATTCCATACAAGGAAGTCGTTTGGTGTACACATCAGATTTTTTAAAATGTGCTATTTAATGAAAAAATATGTGTATGTATAATATAATGCTTAAAAACTCAAACTTATTAAATATTACTCTTGAACTAAAATAATGGCATAAAATATGTTTTCGGATTTTAATTGTTTTGTCAATACAAAATGCATTGAAAATGTGCAATTTAGTCTTCTATTTTAGCTGTTTATTAGTTATTTGCATTATAGCTTTTTTAGCTATTTTTTTTTTTTTTTTTTTTTTAACCTGTTAGATAGCTTCCTTCTGAAATAGTATAAATCCTCAGTAGCAAAATGTTTTACTAAATTCTTAATAAGCCAAGCAGCAAAGTTTCATGAATTTTCACTACTTATACTATGCCTGCCCTACAAATTTCCCCATTTTCTCCTGTGATAAAATTTCTGTCCTACTAAAGAACTTTTTGAAGTAGAAAGTTCTTTGATTTGAACCTATTTTTCATTATGATTTTTGGAAAAGTCTCATACAACTATGCATTAAATTCCTTTTCCTATTATTAGTTCACCAGATTTTAAGATTCCTCTTAGAAATGACTTCATTGATGCACATGTTTTTCAAATTTTAATTTACTTCTAGTCTATGATTGTGAAAACATTTGATATTTAAAAAAATAAATAAAAATGTGATGTATTAAGTAAAATTATGCTTAATAATAAAAATTAACAATACTATTCAAGTAGCATACACAGATTTTGCTAAATTTTAAATTTCATTTTAAGTGTTAGTGAAACAAGTGGAAAACAAACCATGTGGTCAGCCTGTTCGCCTACTTTGAATCCATGCCAGTATCTAATAGTATTTAGCAGTTTTTAACTATTTGGCCACTGGTGGATTAGTCACTTATTAAAAAGAAAAAAGTAATGAAATAGTTTGACTTAGACATTTAATTTTTTGGAATTATTTATTAAATTATTTAACTGTGATTTTAATTTTTTTAAAAATATTTGTAGCAAGAGATAAGTGTGAGCTTTTCATCAAAAGGAATATTTCTATTCGAATAAATCAGCTATGTGCATTATAATTTTCTAGTGTGTTTTTGTATAATACTGAAAAGAAATTCAAGCATTTAATTCAAGAAGTTGCTTTTAAAATTTCTATGTTATGTTTTAAATATTGAAGTAAGAATCATTAAAAATGATTATTTTTAATAAGAATCATATAGAATGCGAAATGACACAAGCATGAATTTTCTGACATATTTAAATAACTGTGTGTTATATTCTATTACTAACTTTAAGTCTGTGTTATGTAAATTTTTTTTTTTTTTTTTTTTTTACTTTGCATGCTTTAAACATGGTTCTCTCTTTTTCAACTTAAGTTTGTATAAAGGTAAATTCAACAGTTCCTTTTTGATATTTTTATTTCTCACAAATTCTTACATAGATAAAAATTATTAAAAAATTAGGACAAAATTAATTCTAATGGTATAAAAATAAATAAATAATAAAGCATAACTAAGTATGTATGCAAAAGTGAAATTAAGATCATATGTACAAGGTTTTTAAAGTCTCTATACATTTTTTGAGAAATATGTTCGAATTGCAGTTATTTTAGAGATGATCTGAAAGAATGCTGTCAACAGAGGGAAGAATAGGCATTGTTTGTGCCCTTACACATGGGTTAACGTATCAATAGGTGCAGGAGGACTTTGCCCGTAAATTCAGAAAACAAACCCCTACCATAGCAGCTATTAAAACCTTGGTAAACAAATTCAAGCGAACTGGTAGTGTTAAAGATAAAAACTCGCCTGGGAGACCATCAACAATGCCACAATTTGTGCAAAGCATACAAGAAGCCATTACTTGTAGCCTCCAGGCTCAGCTAGGAACTCGGTATTTCACATACTACTGTTTAGAAAACTCTACACTGTCATTTAAACAAGGATGCCTACCACATTCAAACTGTGCATAAGCTGGAAGCTGAGGACTATGCCGCTCTACAAGCGATGTGTAGCTCCACAAGCAATTTGTTGGAAGCTCTGGATAATGAGAAATTAATGGAGAATGTTCTCTTTAGTGACGAAGTCACATTTCATCTCAGCGGCCATGTGAATAGGCGTAATTGCCAAATGAGGACTGATTAACAACTAAACGTGTTATACAAATCTCAGGGAAACACACCTAAATTTAATGTATGGATTTGAATAACAAAGTCTAAGCTCTGTGGACCTTTCATGTTTGCAGAAAGGACCATCACTGGAGAAGTTTATCTCAATATGTTGCAACAATATCTTGTGGTACAGGTCATAATTTGTACATTCGACGCCAACGTTTCGATGCCAATGGTTCGACGCCAGCGTTTCAAAGCGTGGTCAATTTGACATGAGGTCGTTTCGACGCGGGGTCAGTTCGACTCCATACTTTTTCTGCTTTTGTTTGTCGCCATACTTTTCGTATTTTTATTTATTTTTAGAATAATTTTGCATCATCATTAAAATAAATTTGGTGTCATCATCATTTGGTGTTTCACACCCCACATTATGGGAATTCATAGATGGTCTGAGGTGTGTTCAAAAATCAATTGAATCAACGTTATGAACAATTTGTACATGGAGATGAACCGTCGCACAAGCGGAATAGGTATCTGCGAGCTGATATGAGAATTAAAGTAATAGTTGAAGATTTTGAAAATCGAGGGGGGCTTCTCACTAATATGGGACACAAACAAAAATCTAGAATACTTTCACACATATACACACATATATTTATTTCAAATATGCATGCAAACAATCGCTAATCCAATAAATAAAAATCAGTCATATTTATTTATATTACTTCATATTTATTCTAAAAATAAATAAAAATACGAAAAAAAATATGGCGTCGAAACGTTGCCGTCAAACCGTCGGCGTTGAAACGACCTGCTTCAATATCTTGAGCCACAACTAGTATCAGATGACATTGTTTTCCCAATAGGATGGAGCACCTCCCCATTTTGCCATTATTGTGCATAATTATCTTAATGAAACTTTTCCTGATAGGTGGATTGGTTGTGGCTCTTAACGGTTTTGGGCTCCACAGTCACCAGACTTAACTTTCCTAGACTTTTTTTGTTAGGGGTTTTGTCAAGTCCAAAGTATACCAAATGAAGACTGGCAGCATTGAACATTTAAAACAGTGAATTATGGCTGCATCAGCTAAAATTACACCAATAACTTAAAAAGTACAGTGTCTAAGATAATAAGGTGTTTCAGAGTACAGTGGAATGGTGGCAATTGTGCCTTGACACTCAGGGGAGCCGCATTGAATTATACTAATTTTGTCACCTATTATGTTGCATTTTCATGTAAATAACTTATATTTCAGTATAAAGCCGGATTAAGCAAAGATGTATAGAGTCCTTATAAACCTCTGTATAAGCATGTTATATTATTGGGATAGGGCAAACATGAGAGGTGAATAAACACAGGTGAAATATTCAAAATCCTATGTAAGTATTAAAATATTAATAAATCAGCAACAATTTCTTAAAATATTCATAATTGATTTAAACTAAAAAATATTATAACTAGAAGGGTCAGAAATTTTCATTATGGCATTCTGTGTGTGTATAAATCCTCTAGTTTTAAATTATTCTGAATAGTTTGTGAAAAATATTTTTGAAAGTGGTAAATGCATTATGAAATTTCAAGGAAATACATCTGAAATTATAGTCCATTTTTCATTTTTATTTATGCAAAAAAGGTGCTGGAGAACTTCAGTTCTACAATGAATTTTTCTCTATATTGTTAAACTTTTTTTGTGATGGGGCTACATCTCATGAAAGTTTGAATTTAATAATAGGATAGAAAAATTTATTTAGAAACATATTTCCAAAAATGCTATAAGAATGTATTTCTTTAAATACAGGTTTTACTAGAAATTGCAACTGGTTTAAGACCCTTTGATCTGGAAAGAGGTGATACTAAACTATTGGTGAGTTCTTTCGATTTTCTTTATTTCAAGTTATTCAACATTTTAACATTTTCAAATTAAATAGTAATTGATACGATATTTTTTTATTCTGCAAGCACTAAATGCTTATATCTCAGAAGACTCTAATGAACGTTAACCTAACTAATGATGTAATATTTTTTGAAAAAAATTGTGAGATCAAATGACATTCAAACATGTATACATTTACCATTGGCCCTTATACAGAAAGCTCATCACTCATCAAAAATATTCTGCACTAACTTATGTGCCCTCCTGGTTTAATTCTGTCAACTGTAAAACTCTCATCAAGCAATGCTATTCCTGCCAGTTATGTATAACAGTATAAGTATGACATCAAATATATCTGCTACTTTGTTTGATGTAACACTGATTGATTCTCAAGAAACTACCATTTGTTTTTATTAACAGGAATAAACTGATATTGCTGTATTTTTCCTTGAATTATTTAATCAAATTTAAAACAAAATTTGATTAAAATTTAGCATCTGTCCACTACAAAACAGCAAGCAGGGAATTATTTTAAAAGCTATGAGATCATGCCATCAAAAAGCATGTACGTTAATGGACAAGATAAAGTTAGCTGAATATGGCAGATAAAAACAGTAATAGATTGGCAGAGATACTTGCAGGAAGTTTGCACTTATAATGGTCTAAACACAAGCTTCTGGTAAAATCACAGTGTCTAATAAAGTAGTAGAAATCAACAAAAATCGTTTTATGAAGTGCGAAAAGAAAGCAGACCAAATACTGATTGTTTATTAAATAAAGGGTCGTCAGTTCCTTTAGAATGCCACAGGAATTATTAGTGCAACTTTGGCCAGTTCTGTGCTAACTTCCATAGTTGGATGGTAGCCAACTTTCATGGTTGACATGTTAATACATCCAAAAAGTACGAAAAAAGTACTAGAGGTGAGAAAAAATACCAAATTTGAATTTACTTTTGCTTTACCCTGTTTAAGGCATTTTATGATACCACTGTCTTTTTATCATAAATGAACTGCTTGCAAAACTAGTAAATTAATATTTACTAGTCTGTCAAAAATGAAAAGGGAAAAAACTTGAGACTCACCTTATTGTAATTGTGTATGGAATTTTATGTTTTTAGTTATTTCATATGTAATATATGTACAGATAGTTAATTTATTTAAATATTATATTCTTGCATGCGAAATTTTACGAATTTTTATGTATATGTAAATAATTTTAGTGAAATTCTAGCATCTTTTGTATAATGTAACATGACATGGTTGGAAAAGTAAATTTGTGCCAGAAAAATAAGATTGTAGGAACAAGTCTTGAGGTAGATATCTATCTTGCTAAATTGGCAAGATATTGTCAAGCTGGTAACGGTTTTAGCGACTAATTTTTGTTGCCAGATTTGGCGAGAAATCGCCAGACGTCACTAAACTTGGTGACATTTTGGTCCAGTCTCTGTGTAACTGTAACCGTATCCGTCCCGTATATGTAAGAATATGTGCTTTCTTGTAATGCCAAGAGAAGGAAAGTACTGGAAATTTGCCAACTGCCAGGTGGGGAACTGTACAAGATTGGAGAGAGCATCAATCTCAGTTTTCCAAATACAGTTATACGGAGATTGGACCAAAATGTCACTAAATGGCCCCCAAGTCACTAAATGGCGATTTCTTGCCAGATTTTGCAACCAAAAATTAGTCACCAAAACCATCATCAGCTTGGCGATATCTCGCCAATTTAGTGAGATAAGTCATTTACTCAACATTAAATATACTTGTCCCTGTAATCTTAAATTTCCGGCAGAGCTTTGCTTTTCCAAGCATTTCATGTTACATTATATCAAAGATAACACAATTTCGCATATATTTTCCTAAAAATTATATATATACATAATTCATAACAATACATTTTAAGGTAGAGTCATTTTTGAAGAGTTTCCTTTTATATATATATATATATATGTGTACATACTATATCTTCAGTATAAATATTCACAATTATGATTATTTGAATTTCATGAGTCTAATTTATAGTTAATGCGCTTTTTTAAATTTGATATGTTTATAATTCAGATGCTATTACTAAAACATTATAACTTTTCTGTGAAGGTGGATCATGTTAGGATATGTAATGATGCTGGACATCTGGACACACTGCGCGATACAAAAGCAGGAGAAGAGAACATGATATGGTTTAGAGAACTCATACAAATTGGTCAAAAATGCAGCAGTAGTGATAAAGAGAAACGACCACCCATGCAAGAGGTAGAAACATTTTGCTTTCGACTGTATTAGTTTTCCCACAAAGTATCATGATTATTATTGATTTATAATATCATAATTATGACTAAATTTAAATGCAAGAAATGAAGTTTGAATTGTGGTCAAAGTGTGGGTTAAAGGTGATTAATATTTATTATTATATTTAATTGAAAATAAATTTATCTATTAGTGGTAGTTTTTCAGTGTTGAAGGGTGTTTGAAACTTACAAATCAGGTGAAATATTTCTCTAGAGAATAAGAAAAAGTGTAAAAAAGTGCAACATACATTTTATATTTATTATCTTTGAGTTATTACAACTGCATCTTAAAGCATCAAAAAATATAATGCTGCTTAGGTATCTAAGAATATTCTACAGTAGTGCACCAAGTTATTAAATCTTTATTCTTAAATATATTATAATATTTGTAAAGCACCTGTAACTGAGGCTTAGACATTCGTGCAAGAAAATTTTTAGTGGTCTTGTGAACTAATCTTTTTGAATTATATTGGTTGATAAATGGAATAAAGATTAGTATTCAGGACTATCAAAATATTTATTATATAGAATATTATTATATATAATAAATATTTGTTATATAGAAAGTCGAGATTTGTTTGAGAAGAAACTAAAATCATGGGTAATAGAAACACAGGAAAACTTATCTTTTCCCTTCTTTCAGAATACGTCTCCAGTACAAGAGCACCTTCAATGTGATCATATAGTGATTATTGTTATTGTTGTGAGTAACAGTCGTACAGTCCTGAAATGATTTGATAGATAATCATCACAGAGTGGTTATTGTGCTGATGTGCTTGAAATAATTTTCTTGTCAGTTCTGTTGTTATGTGCGGGAACTTATCAGTTATGGATTTATTTTTAATTAAAAGTTTCAAATCATCACTTTTAGAACAAGAAAAATGTGTCATCTGATCTTAAGTAATAAAATGTAAACATATTCATGTAACACAATTTTGGGCTTGTATTTCTAAAAAAAAATTCAGTATTGAAGGTAAAAATTCACTTAAAATTATTTTCAAATAAAATTATGTGAAATTTGATTGTCTTGTTTTAATACTATGGAAAAAAATATGGAAATCATTTGCAAATAGTTAAATTCAAAACTTCCTCCAACTTTCATCATCCCACTTTGCAAAAGTGAGGTATAGAAAGGTTGGCAGTACTACATTGTCACTTTTAACCTCTAACTGTTTTTGCTTTTGCAATTTTGGTTTCATACTATATGAAATAGTTGATTGATATGCAATTATCTCTCCTTCACATTCAAAAAGCATATCTTAAACATCTGGGGTTTGTTGCTGAACATGGAAGATTGAGCTTATCTGTTAATGGGAAAAGAAATTCTGCATGAGCATAAAGATAGCTTTTTTTTCTTTTTCTTTCTTTCTTTCTTTCTTTTTTTTTTTTTTTTTTTTTAAGTGCTGTTAGAAAAGTAGCAATATTGTAGTTTAAGGGAATATTTTTATTCATTAAGAGCCAGATCTTTTCTTAGTGGCAGTTGAATATATTTTGAATTTTGATTGGATGAATCATGATAATAGAGCCCATCAAAAGATTTACTTTTTGTGGTGAAGTAAATATCACAGTACTTTGCCAATTCTTGTGGCTGCAACCAACTGTGACCTTGTTGAACTGCAACGTATAATGACAAATAGTGATCCAATGTTAGGAAAAGTTTATCTGAAATAAATAAATTAAGTAAAAGCTCAAAATCATTGACATTTTTGGTTTTAAATAAGGTATCTAGCATGATTTTAAATGAGAAACAAATTACAAGTGAGTCTTCCTCCATCATGCCTTTTAGTTTTGTGAAAATTTTCTAAACATGTATATAGCAATACTTCATATTCTTTGATGATTAAAGGTTTAACTTTTGAATAATCTTTAAAATTATCATCTTTGCTATGCAGTAATATTAGTGGCTCTATCACATGTTAGTTCCAGAAAAATTTCAGACTTACATTTGCTTGATGTTCAGAAACTTTTTGTACTGAATCAGAAAAATGAGTTCAATGCCTTTTTCTTTTTAGGTACAGGAATCATGAACAGCTTTTAAGCTTATGTAACGAGAATACATTTTTTAATGCTATTAGTTCTTTCATTACTACTATTGTTTTGTTCTAATTGCAGTTTAGCAAGTTCTTAAAATTCTTTCCTCTTTTCAATAGTGTTAAGGAAGGTAATTATGAAATCCTTTTGTTTTAGATATTCTTTAGAATTAAGAAACATATCTTTTAATTCTACAACTTCTAAACTGTTATGGCATCTTCCCCAACCTCGCTTAAAACAAAGTCAGTTTTTATAATATATTTAAACATTTTGGTACACAGTTTTTTTTTTTCACAAATTAAGACTAAATTCTCATCTTTCAGTGAAATTCCACTTGATCACTTTCAATTTGAAGCTCATGTTCTAGTAATTGAGTGTAGTGCTTGTAACTACATTATTGCGAATGTAAGTAATAAAAAATGTTTACTTTTTTAAAAAAAAATTTAAAACATAAGTTGCTTTCGGAATAGCCTGCTTATTATAAGCTATTGGATGCTAACACCTGTATAGAAATAAGTTATGTTAACAGCTATTGGATGCTAACACCTGTATAGAAATAAGTTATGTTAACAGCTATTGGATGAAAAAAATGACTATACTGAATTTGAATATGCAAATTACATTAAAAATTACAGCTGTTGCAGGATATACTGATTCTGCATATACATATTCAAAATATTCTGTGAGAACTTTGAAATTTTCTGAATAATAGAGCTCTGCAAGTGACCTCTAATTGTTTTTGCTTTTGCAATTTTGGTTTCATACCATGGGAAATAGTTGATTGATATGCCTGTCCTTCGCATTCAAAAAGCATATCTCAAATATCTGGGGTTTTTCAATAAATGTAGAACATTGAGCTTATCTGTCAATGCGAAAAGAATTTCTGCAAGAGCATAAAGATGGCTATTTTTTTCCCCTTAAGTTCTATTAGAAATGTAACAATATTGTAGTTTAAGGGAATGTTTTTGCTCATTAAGAGCCAGATCTTTTCTTAGTGGCGGTTGAATATATTTAGAACTTTTAATTGAATGAATCATCATAATTCGGGCATGATATACTGATTTTGGATATACATATTCAAAACATTCTGTGAGAACTTCAAAATCTTCTGAATACTAGAGCTCTGCAAGTGGCAGAATAGGTAAAAATCAGGATACTTGTAGCTTATCCCATGTTTCAGTTCTACAAGCACAAGTCAGTTTGTGGATATTTTTATGTTTCTTCATTTGAATTAGAAGACTGATCTAGGTTTGCTTTAAACTTCTCAATAAGGGATATTTCTATAGGCTAATTTTTTCAAATTTCATGCAAACATTGCATATTGAGCTCAAGTATTTAATGCTACATAATATAATATTTAATGCCAATCTGTGCATGAAAATTAAGTAAATAAATAAATAAAAAATAACTAATAAATAAATTCTGCTTTAGAATAATAAGATCTTTATTTAACCAAAATATAATATGTGTGTCTTATAATTTTTAAAATTTATGATAAAAACATAATTGATTGTAAGCAAGATAAGTTTAATCCCTATTTTCATTAAAGAAAGTTTGCTAGAATGTTATTTTAATTGAAATAAAAGAGAGTTAATATTGCTTTTCTGTACTTCATTTGTGTGCTGTTAAACTGAGCTAAAGCTTTTAAACTTAATTTGATAAAGTTGAACAAAAGTAGAAAAGTGTTAAAAATAAAACATTAAAATTTTCTGAATTTAAATGACTTGCATAAAAGTTAATATCCTTTGTTGAGTGCAAGAATTTCATGAAAAGTTTAGGATAAACCATATGAATTCTGCAGGAAAGGATTCTTTAATCAAAATAATATTGCTATTGAATTTTACACATATGAAAAGTATAATATTGATTTCACTAGCCATACTAATTTTATTGTTAACTGAATATATAGTAATTACTACCCTACCCCCAAGACCTATTTCAAGCATTCACTGAGCACGAAAGATATGCGAAAGGTCCATTTAACCAACTAATAGACTTTACATGTTTTATCACTAATAGCTAATCCATATTACTTATAAATTGTATTTGTTTCATATTAATTTATAATTTATTCTTGTGTAGGTTTTGCTTCAATTTGCTAAAATTAAAAAGGAAATGTCAGTGGTAGACAAAACAAGACGTAAGATATTTTTGTTATTTTATTAATGTTTTTATTTTTAATTTCATTAAGGTTTCACAGTTAATGAAATTTTATTTAAAATGAAGGATTGTCTGATGACAAGGGAAGCGATGCAAAAGCCTTCAAATTGAATACAGAAATGCATTTGAGTGGGCAAAGTGAAGTTTCAGAGTCTAATAAATTAAGTACTTCTCCACAAAACAATGGAATAGCTGATGATAGCCCAGTAGTAGTGGATCCAGCGAATGCTTTGAAATCTACATCTCCAAAAGTTAATGAGTCAAGGTAATATTAATTATATTTTAGGAGAAGAAAAATTCTAGAACTGTTATCTTTCAGTTTTTTTTTTTTTTTTTTTTTTTTTTAATAATGTTAAAGTTATACTTTGGATGATATTCTAAATTTTATTTTTATAAACTTAAAAAATAATTTTGTTTTTGCAATGTAACACTTTATTATTTTAAATTTCAGAAGCTATGTTTACCTAATTATTGCAATTAATCTGAAAATTTTCTGTCAAATATTGAAATCATTTGTGATGTGGTAATTATTTGCCTTATATAGGTAAACTTATAGATTTATCCATATTCTCCAAAAATGAATACTAGCTGTGACATTTGTTAATCTGGACATTGTAGTCTTTGTCTTGGTGCTCCAGTTTTTGTATTTCCAGTTCATATTCAGTAATTCTCAAATCACATTTCATGCTTCTTACTCCCCAAATTCCCTGGTTTTGTTGGAATATAATGCACAGACCAGCTGCCTGTAAGTAGTCGTATGATTATACTAAGCACATCAGTTTGATGAAAATTTTTTGGATGGCATTTCAAAGCCATTTTCAGATTTTAATCTTTCTCCTGGCTTTAAAAAAAAAAAAAAAAAAAAAAAAAAAAAAAAAAAAAAATCAAGGTCCTACAGAAAGTTTCTGAAGTTAGCTTAGCATGTTAAATGCTAAGCTTAATTTGTTTGGCATTCCAGGCACACTGCATTATCATCAAATGGGGAGGGGAATTATTAATCTTTCAGATTCTGATCTCGAAGATCTGAAAGACTTGGATATGGTTTAGATGTTTCTTTTTTGGCTTGTGTCAGTAAGTCAATAAAATGGTATAGGAAATTAGGGTTTGAATTTTATTGAAATTTGCTGTTGTTGTAAAAACTTTTTTATATGTCAAGAAATAACAAGCAGTAAAATATTTGTTACAACATATTGAAAAAAAATTGATTAAGGCACTTATGCAATATAAAAAAGAAGATACTATTGCAGAAAATTCCAGTATAAATACAAAAACAAGGAGTATCAGCATTCTTAAAGTGAGAAGATATTGCATCAAAAATTCTGAAATTTTAGGTTCAAAAAGAGAAAAAATGTAACAAATATGGTTATAGCCTTTTGCAATTATATTAAAGGAAAACTGCACCTTTATTTAAGTTGTTTTAATAAGCTACATTAATTCTTTTCAAAATAAAGCTGCTAGGGGGTCAGTGTGCCATAAATGGAAAATCTAAGGCCATTGCTTAGGAAACAATGTGCCATTTAATGTGTTAAAAGGTTAGTTTGTTACCTTTGTTATCCAGCCAGGTCTCATGATTCACCAGAATTAATAATTAGCATAATGTATTGATTTAAATGTATCCCAATATTCACTGAATGCTGCAGCAAAAGTCCAGTAATGTGACATTTTTTGTTTGACTGTGTAATCCATTTTAGATTAAAGTTTATGCTGTCTAATTTAAATAACACCATAAATTATTTGTTAAATTTTAGAAAAAAAAATGTAAACATTTAATTCTTTGACATTTGTTCTTTGATCTGGACAAACCATGATATGAGCAATCCAATTAAAATGGAAGAGAAACATGCCAATGTAAAATTTAAAAGTAGGCAAAACAGCAACCTTAGTTTGACAGAGATTTTGATTAAAACTCTGTCAATTTTGAGGGCTATCAAACAGAGGTCTTTTGAGGGCAGTCAAACACAGGTAGTTGGATGAAATTCAATGACAACAAGGTTATTCCTAACAATGGAATATTTACTTTGATCAGTAGAGTTTTATTCCAAATTTATACCAAACTAAGGTTGCTGTTTTGCCTAATTTTAAACATAATAAGAGTTGTCAAAAAATTGTCAACAGAGGTCACTATTTTGAATCTAAGTCATTAGAAGGCTTGGTGTAGGTTTTCATTTTGAAATTGCAACCATCACATTTTGTATGCTATTTCCACTGTAAAGCTGACTGCAATTTGACTTTTATGGCAGTCAAACTGCTATGTATTGGCTTTATACACATCACTAAATTCCTATTAGCAAAGCATTAATCAGGCCTTTATGGACAGCAATCACCAAATCTCTTTCATAAAGTGGCAGTTCATGAATTTAAGTATGTACATTGTTGCCAGATCATGAATTTTTGGAGAGCCTTCATATTAACCCTTAACTTCCCAATTTTTTAAATTTCTATGAAAAAATTATATCAGCTACTTCTTAAGTAATAATAAAATGGAAAAATATTTTAAAAAAACTAAGCAGTTTTAAATTGAATTTCAGTCATTTTTTTTTGTTTGTTGCAGAAGTGCAACATTGTGCAGTAGTGCTGTAAAATTACAAAACTTTTTTTTATATGAGGATTTTATTATTCATTGTTATAAATTGCTTTAGCCTTACATACAATGAAAACTTTTAAAGCAGTTATTGACTTTGTTGTCAAAAGTCCCCTACTTTACACTTTTCGCACTCAGTTTGAGTGTAGCTCTTGCAGTTTGGAAACTTGCACCGTATTCTTTTCTGACCATATTGGCCAATGATTTATACCATCTCTACGAATGTCCTTACATGGAACGGATTGGGCAGTCCCTTTGCATCTTTTAGTCTGAGACATTTGTTCTATTGAAGTATTACTAGGTGGTGTTTGGTGTATTTAATTATGGCAAAGCACACTAGGGCTATCTGCCTAAGAGGAGGGATGCCTTCGTGGAGGACTTTCTTAGAGAAACTGGCTTGTATACATGTTACACATAGGGAAAACCACTAAAACGCCCATGCAGCCAGCCCGTTCGCGGGATTCGAACCTCAGACCGAACTACCAGTATTCAGCGACTTTACCTCTCGGCCGCTGGTGGGCCAAAGTATTACTAGGTCTTCCTCTTTTAGCATTTTGATCATACCCCATTTTGCATAAGCATGATGCAACTTCAGATTTGAATTTTTTTTTTTGTAAATTCATTATATTTTTTTTTTTAATTTTATTTTTTCAGATTTCTTCATTGTTTCTTTAATTTGATCAAATCCAAGCTCTTCTGCTTTCTTTCTTCTGACCAGTATGCTCTATAGTTTGGCAGGTGAACTAGAGGTGCATAAATGTAAATACCCAAATATTGATTTATTTCATTCTCTGATATAGTCAAAGGCTTACTTGGATTCTTTTGAATAGCATATCGTTTGCTGTCTTCATAAATGTTACTTATGATCTCTTCCATCCATAAATATTTAAAAAATTGGTACATAGTGTCCAAATCCGTAATTTCTCTTGGGAGCGTGTCATCTCTATGGAATTTTATTACTTCTTCAATCAATGAAATGTTTTGATTTTTCCATAAAATATTCTTTGAAAATGTTTTATTATTCTTAACAGTTAAATTTAATAAAGGTTCTCTGACTGAGATACACCAGCGGCCGAGCGGTTAAAGTCGCTGAAACACTGGTAGTTTGTTTTCGTGGTTTTTCCCATGTGTAACTTGTATACAAGCCAGTTTCCCTTAGGAAATCCTGTACGAAGGCATCCCTTCCCGTAGGCAGATAGCTCTCAAGGCTTTGCCATAATCACACACATACACACTGACTGAAATATTTCTATCAAATTTATTATGATTATCATTGGATTTTTTATCTTCTGAATTGTATTTTGTGAAACAACACTATTTCACAGTCGCTATCCGAATCATCATTAGATGACACACAATCAGGTAAAAAATGAACATCACCAGCAGAATATTCAAGACTATCCTCACTTAAATCACTCAATTCGCCCAAATTATTCATATATCTAGCAATTTCATCTTGGTTTAGTATACGCTTTTTGGCCATGTCAAAATGGTAACTAAAGACCAATGTTGCACACCTGCAACATATAATTAAAATCAAATTTTCTTTCAAACTTTTTCTATTAGAAAATCAAAATTTCTTTTAAATGAACATAAAATGTTTAAACTTCTTACCTGGTAATTTTTTTCGTCAATAAACAAGAGGAAGCATAAAATATAATGGATTCTTTTTATAGCAAAAACACAGTTCTTGAGGAATCAGAGATTTTTATAATTGTTGCGATTTCTGGGGAAAATGTGCTGCTATCTAGTGACAAATTTAGCATGTATTTCGTTGCAGTAACCTTTTTTTCTTAGATAAGTGATTTGTAGGTAATTAAAAAAATATTGAGTCTGTTAAATTAAAATAAATCATATGTGTCAGAAATGCAACAGTGGGAAGTTAAGGGTTAAAGGTAAATGTGATATTGCTATAAATTTTATTCCTGCTGATAATTTAAAAAAAAAATTTTTCCAAGCTGATGATCATGAAATTTTTCCTTCAAATGGCCTATAAATATATAAATTAAATGTTTTTGATGTATTTGCATGAACTGATTTTTTTCCATGTAGAATTAATGCAAATATATTGTTTTCTTTTTATCTTTAGCTCTGAAACGGGGGATTCTGAAGATACCTGTGATTCGTCTGAATATAGTGAAAGTCAAACTGAAGTTGTTGATAATACAGCTTCCTCAAAACCGTTTTGGATGATAAAACTCCTGCAGATGAAAAAGTGGTTTTTCCTTTGGTAATATTGCTTCAGTTGCATGTGTCTGAATCTAACAATACATCAGAGGAACTTATTGCTGAAAAATGCTCATCAGGTGTCACCAGTAATATTAATATTAATAAAAGTGTACTTATTAAAGAAAATTTAGTATGAACAAAATTTACTTGCTCATTTTTCTGAAGCTTTAAAAAATTATATTATGTATGGATGTATGTATGGAAACATAATTATGAAATAATAGCTTTTCTGCAGAGTTTTCAAATTCTGATCTTCTCTGTTTTGTCGTGTTATATAAATAAAACACATTTCATAAATATATATTTTTATATTCTAAAAATAGTTTTGTAAATGATTTTGTTATTGTTGTTGTTATTGATTATCTTGTACCATCAATCATGGGAAAGTAAGATTCAGTTTTGTTTCATGATTGCCAGATGCTGATAACTTTTTTCCTAAAAAAGAATTTTAAATAATGCGTTCTATAGTTTATCTTATCCTTTAGAGCAGTGGTCTCAAACCCAATTTTCAAATTCCATGTGGGCCTAATACAGATCTTAAAGCAGCTGACGACCCAAATTTTGTTTTTTCTCCCCCCCCTTTTTTTTAGCCAAAAGGAAAAATATTTTTTAACAAAACCATTTTTTTTTCACTGAAGTTTAAATTAATTATTTATCGAAACATACATAAATGGTATTAATAATGATACAAAGGGAAAAATTCTAATTTGTATTTTCTGCTTGAAATCTGAAGGTTAGGACATGCAAGAAATATCTGTTCCACTTTGGAATTTGAACCTATCGATAGCTAACTATAAAATTTTCAGAGTGACATTTATTTCAAATAATTCTAATGTATTGAATTAACCACTAAATAACTTACTTTTATCTTTAACTAAAAACAAATGAATTGCAAACTTTACAAGTGGGACAAAACTTGAGAAATGACAACCTGTTATCTTTCTTTTATATATTAAAATTTCCTTTGACACATGCAGAAAAAATATGTTTATGTAAAAAATTATAAACTTCTTTCTAACTGCAGCTCTCAGCTATAACATTTAATTTCATTTTGATTATAACAAAGGGGTTTTCATCCGCAGAGAACCCGTTGGCGCCGTTGCATTCTTACTCGCCAAGCTCGCGGTTCATCGACAATAAGCCGAGCCATAAACGTGATATTTTGTAAACGTGATTTTTAGTGCATGTAAATTCAAGTTAGCAGATAAAACAATATATTAAGCATATGGTAGTAAAAATTCACAGATAATATGCATGTAGATGTAAAACTAAAGGGTTAAAAGCGATATACGAAAATAAATTTGTATTAAATTCAAGTTAGCACAGAAAAGAATATATTATTAAGCATAAGACAATATATAAGCATTTATAACGGAAATAAAAATTCATTTAAAAAATATAAATTAGTATTAATATACTGAAATTAACCGGTTAAACGTGATATAGGAAAAAAATTTGTCTTAAATTCCAGTTAACACAGAAAACAATATATTCCTTACACCAGCAGTTGTTTTGCTAATTTTGATGACCATGGTGATGCATCAAACTATTCTGTCATCTTAGATAATCAGTATTTTTTATTTCAATTTAATCATCTATTTATGCCACACCACCTGCCATCCTCTGAAAGGTTATTGTTAGAAAAGCATTAACAACGAGCAACAACATATATTATCTTGTTAAAATTTTACGCCTATAAAAATTGATTTATTCTCATAATTTTAGATGACAATAACCAATAATAAAAATAAAAGCATTACTTAATTATTTAAAATGCACATGCACATTTTTTGCGGTCTACGAAAACAAATTATTTTAGACTTTGGAAACCTCATGGTTCTTAGACCTGTTAATAATTAAGAACACAACGTGAACAGCCGTGTTACAAATTAGCATTCACCCCTCCTTTCATCCCGAACCGAGAACCGGCATCTATCTACGAAAATATTTGAAAATATTTCTATCTATTCGTTGTTAAAAAATTCAGAAAAAATAATAATAAATAAGAGAAGAATAATATAAATCTGCAAATGCGAACAACGACAGTCTTAATTCAACAAAATAAACGCAAGAGGAATGGTTGCAAACTTCGAACAAGCGAATGAGATAAATCCGAAGGGTTACCAAGTTAGAACTATTATCGCCAAAGTTGGCGATGTTTACATTTACCGGGTTCTCTGCGGAAGTGCTTCCTAACAAAGTGTGTAAACTTGGTGAAAAATTAGTAGAAATTACCTTTATCATGAAAGCTGGGTTCTTATTTTTTTAGACTTATTCATTTTCAGCTGAGGAAAACAGAATATTCACATATAAATGTACTCCCAAACAAAATGATTATTTTTATAGCAAAAATTCGTTACTGAGGTTATTTATCTTTGGAAAAGTATGCAAAAAGGTGAATCAAATCTGTATATTCAAATCTTTAACACAATTTGTATCGCAGTATAAATTAACGAGCTCCATTTGAAGATTTTTCTGGGGCATTACTCATGTTCATTTTTAATGGTGGTGAAAATAATGCAAAATTACACTAAAAATCATTAAAATGTTAAACCATTCTCCAAATTCTTGTCATAATAATACTAATTAAGCTTATGTGAAACGTATTAGTGGGCTGCATAAAATTGCTTCAGGTGCTATTTGCAGCCTGCAGGCTGCCAATTTGAGACCACTGCTTTAGAGAATATTATTTTGCTTTCACTGTGTGAACAAAGCATATAATAACAGTACTTAAAATGATTGCTGGTTGTAGGTATGCTGTTGTTACTTAATGCATTTTTTTTTACTTCAGTATATTTTTGTTTTTGAATTTCACTTCTGTGCTTTTCAGATTGCCTTTTTTAAACCCTAAACTGCAGGTAGAGAAAAACTGTTGGTGCTGTATAAAATAGAGTGCCAAAATGTTTCTAACTTAGTGATATGTATTAAAGCCAAAAAGATGTATTAAAAACGAAGGGGTTAATAATAGGAACTGTGAAATAGTTCACTTGATACATGTTTGTCCTGAATTTAGTACATTATCAGGATGAAAATATTGTGCAATAAAAACAAAATATATTTTTGAAACTTTGTGGAATTTACTAAAAATTTTTCGAATGTGTAATATTTTATTGAAATCTAATTCATGTATGTATAAATAATTGGAATTAAATTAGTCCGCTTTCTTTTCATTCAATTTTGATCTAATCTAAATTGCTAATGATGGTACATGAACTATGGATCTCTTGATATAGCCATGAATTTCATGATGTATGCTGCAGTAAGAATAAGGCCATTGAAGACATATGATGGAATAAAGCTCAAGGACTCCTGTGAGGGAATGACTGAGAAAAGGTGATAAAGAAGCTAAACCATTTTTTCTTAGCTATTAGTCACTTGAATGATTTGAGAGAACTGCAAGGTTGCTTTTAGGTAAAATCATTGAGTATAAAAGTTAGTAAAGAAACAAAACAATTGTTTCTAAGCTGTAAAGTCCTAAATGGTTTGAGAGAACTGCAAGGCTGCTTTTAAGTAAAATCATTTAGTATAAAAGTACCTCAAAATCAAAACTGTGCTACAGCCAATGGTATATATAAAATATATGAAAAAATATAAAATACTGACATAGAAATAAAATAAATACACGAAGAATGATGATGGCGAGTTTGAAGATCTACCTTCCCTTTCCCCACACATGAATCATGACATTCTTTTAAGATTTTCTTTTTTTTTTTTTTTTTTTTTTTTTTGTTGTTGTTGAGGTATAATAAGTTCAGCTTCTTCTTCCAAATCAGGGGAATATTGGTACAACACTCCTCTGCTCATAATGTATGTTCTTCCAGTCAAAGCTGCACAGTCTACTTCATTCACTGGACTCTCAAAAGTTTCAGTGATGTTTCGAAGGTCATCATCTTCGAGCTGTGATTGGCGTTATTCTGCTTAAAACTACGAATTCTTAAAATTTTGTGTGTGTTGCATGTGGTACATCTAATTCTACATATATGTTATGACTGAATGATAAAATGAGGCCATCGTTTTAGAATTATTATGAATAACTGGAAAATGAATTTTGTTGCTCAATAATGAGAGACACCCATGAATTAATTTGGAAGCTCAAAATATTTGCATAGAATTTTGTAAATAATCTAGATAGCATTGAAAGTTTTAAACTCATTTTCGAATTTTCATGGATGTAAGTACACAATTTTGAAGTTCTGGTAATCTTTTAATTGCCAGTTACAAAGATTCTCACTTTATCTTGGATTTAATTTCTAAAAGGCTTATACTTAAGCAGACACGCACGTTACGTTAGCAGACACTACGTTACTACATCAGACACTACATTACTACGTTACTTAAGCAGACACTACGTTACTCTATACATGTTGATTGTGAATGGATTCACAAACAACATATACAGTACAAAGTCCGTAATTCGGACTCGTCGGGACTTCGGTGATTCCAAATTAAGGGTTTTTCCGGATTATAGATCATTAGTTTAAATCTGGTAATATGGCATGCAGAAATTATACAATTAAAAATATGAAACCGTAATTTATGAAATAAAGAGCAATTATGATCTAAAGGGTATCAAAATTTACAAAAAAGAAGCTTAAAATTTATTTGTTTACTTTATTAAACATTTCTTTCAATGTAAATTGTTTAACTTGCTTTCTTTTTTTGTGCTAAATGCGCATGTGTAAACATTAAACATGCATGCATAGCATTAAACGCTCATGTGTAAAGCATACAAGAAAAAGTTTGTGGCTTTGAGGTCCGGATTATAGATTATTCCGGGTAATGGACGTTCGGATAACAGACTTCGTACTGTATAGAGTAACGCAGAATATTAGACTATGCTGTGTTGTTTTCCCCATGTCATCCCCACATCATTCTGTGTATACTTTCTTTTATGTCTCCCCTCCCCTTGTTCTAGGAGAATGCTAAAATTTTATTTGATGTTATTGTTTACTTATTTTATGCATTTTTCTATATATAACCATGAAATAATTTGTACCATTGAAGGAATTTTAAAAATATGCCAAAGCAGAGTTTCCTATTTGCAAAGGAATACAAATATTGAAACATTGCATACTAAAAAAGCTATATTGCATATACTGAAGGATTCCCTCTCTGATTTCCTCTCT